TGTTTGTTAGACTGGCAGAAGCACAAATGGGTTACTATGGGAGGAACACTTTTATAATTAAGGTAATTTGTTTCTGAGGGGGAAAATACAAGTGGGAGTGCTCAGAACATACAATAAAACCTTAACTGTAGAGAAGGCAAGTACTGAAATAATTTAATGTCGTCTAAAATTCAGAATATTTTGCATCCATTTTTCTACACTGTCAAGTACCCGGAAGCCCTACAAAGAGCAAATTTTACAAGAGAGATGTGTCATGTATGTTTTCCAGATACAAAATGGAAAGTATTAATTTACATTTCTCTGGAGAGAGTTATGGTAGAACACTAGAAGCAAAACTGCATTTTCTGTTGTAAATTTATGTAAAGCAAAGCTAAATTCTGACAGACATGCCTTTTTCCTTTTCACCAGAAAGATGGAAGCAGAGAGGTTTTTAATAATGCAAAATGCGAATGTGCAGATCTAAAGATCTTTGTTTTAGTAAATCTGATTAGTTGTACTGGTGTTTTACAACTCCATCAGAAATCTCCAAAAAAAGACTTCAAGGATGTCTTCTGTGATGTTGAACAGCCCTCACTTACCAGTGTTTCACACTCTCTTCTAACTGCATTACCATCATTGAAAAAAAGATAAAAACAGTACCAAAATCCTTCTCTTCCACTTTTTCATAACCCACCTAGCAAAATTATTCAGAGAATTTTCAATCTAAAATTAGCCTATTCTTTTAAACAGCAACAGGCACTAATTCTGCAAGATGTAAAAGTAAGCCTAGTGTAAGTTTACTTAATTGTAAAATGGGTTTTATTTCTACTTAGTTTCCTATTTCCAGTTCTGTACTCAGAATACCCTCTGTTCTGCAAAAGTAAGTAACAGCAAGATGCAAAAAGAGCAGTCCATATAAAAAAATTTTTTTTTAAAGGTCAGCATACTTCAGCAAAACATTGCAGAGGGATGTCTGTTCTCATCCTGACAAGAATTCCATGAGCACTTTATGCATGAGCAGTATGCCAGAAAAGCCCATCTCCATTGTCAAGGCGAAAATCTTTGGTACGTAGGAAGACTGTCGAGGTTTCCCAAAACTCCTACCCTAATTTTAAGTTTCAAAGACCGACTGACAAGGGCTTTAAACTTGTTCCAGGGTGCTTTCTAATGTTTTATAACCTAGGTGTTCACAACCATACTCATCAGTTTTCAAACACGCACTGATTGTTTGGGTTGTGAAGAGTTTCACGAGACCTTGATAAGCACTCACTACCCTGTTTACACACCTCGTGTAAAATCCGTGCCTTAGCCTCAGCAGCAGGAGTGTCCTTCAGAGTCCAGGCACAAAACACAGCACAACATTTAAAAAACATTCCTGCAAGGAATTTCAACTTGCCTATCACTTTATTTTCCTCCTTTTTCTTTTGGCAAGGCTATTTGTTGCTTCTATTTAGGAAAAAGAGAGAATCCCCAGAAAGATTGTGTCCACATGTTGGGGGTACATTAACCAAACCCCAAAAACCTCTAGAATGGGATACTCCTTCTTAAAAGCTGACAGCAGAGTCAACTGGTGATTATTTCATTCATTTCAATTAAAAGATGAAAGTAGAGAAACATCAAGAAGGCAAAGTTATACATTGTGAAGTCCCTTTGTAGGTTTTCAACTCCTTAAACACTGACACAGTAAAAACATTACTGAATCATGTCTCCAAACTTTTCACTCTCTTCCCTATGACAGCATACCGTAGTTTCAGCATCTTATTTCAACTGATTTGTTTGTATCCTAGAGCCAGGAAAACACCAATTTTGGGTGAAGAGTACCTAAATACAGCTTGCAGTTAGCTATTTTATATAGCATACAATTAGAGAGACCTGGCCCCGTCTCAAAAAGAGTTTCTGTGGTCAGATACCTGATCTTAGCTTTCTCTGTGGTTCACAGTACAGAAGCACCCACCAATCCCAAAAATATAAATATAAAAGCAAAACGCATCAGACTGGAGCAGGTTTGCAAGAAGCCACTTCACAGATTTGAGGTCGCATTTCAAAACAAACTCGGGATCAAGAACAAAAAGTAGAACTAAGTAACTTAAGAAAATACCAGTCAAAAATGCCACTAAGCTCTTATGGAAATTGCACATTCTTTCCGTATCACGCCTGTTAAAAGATTTTTAGTGCAATTATACTTGTATTCCTACGGCTCCTTTCTCATTTGTGAAATGAACAGCATTTACCTCTTGCATGTAGTGTTTCAAGACCTACTGATGGAATTACATACAGAAGCTATACATGTGTGTTTTTGAGGCGTAGCAGAGTTATCTGATATTTTAATAAGAAAACCTAAAGAGTTTCTAATAAGGAACCTGTAACTAATCGAGCATTGCTACGACTACAACTTCACCGACTGGAAGCCCTTACAAAGAGCTCAACAGGGCGCATTAGCGCATCCGACCCCGGTGCTTCCAGCAGCAGCCCGAACAAGCACCAAGCCCTTCACGTTCCGTGCAAGGTGCAACTTTTCGGAGAGCCGCTTCCCTGCCTCCGGGCGGAGAGGGACCCCCGGCACCATTCAGCTCGGCTGCCGCACCTCCTTCCCTCAGACAAAGACGGCCGCAGTCGTTACCGGTGACAGCGATTCCGCGGCGGCGGGAAGCGCGGCCGTGCGGGGATCTCGGGCTCCGACGCTCCGAGCCCGGCACGACCGACGCGCCCGCCCCGCACGGCCGCGGGGCCGCTGCCTCCTCGCCGCCCGCCGCGGCCCCTTCTCTCCCACGCCGCCCTCCTGCCCTCACACACCCCGCGCCCGGCGGTCCCCCCACAGCCCCTTGCCTCACCCGCCCCGCTCAACGCGGCCCCTTCCCTCACACACCCGGTTCGCTACACGCCCTCCCTCACATGCCCCCCGCCGCCGCCCCGGCTCACCTTGCTGCAGGTCCTGCTGGTCGTACCAGGGTTCATCCTCGCGGATTTCGAACTCCTCCACCAAGCTGTCGGCCAGCATCGCGCCCCTTCTCCTCACGGGCGGCTGAGCCGGCGGCGCCTACCCCACGATGCCCCTTGCGCCGAACGGGGCAGAGCGAGTCGGCAGCCGCTCCCCGCCTCAGCAGCCGCCTCCGGCCATTGCCGAGCGGTTCCGGACGTTGCCGAACCTCTCCCCCTTCTGGCCGGGCTGCGCCGGCGGCAACGTGGCAGCTGCTGCCACCGCCCGCCCCCCGCCTCCCGCGATTCAAACACAGCACCCTCGCCTCGCCTCGCCGGCGGGCAGCCAACGGCGAGCCGCCCGCCGCACAGATCGAAAGGAGATTACACCAATCATAAGGCGAATTCGTATCAAGCGGCCAATGAGAGCAAAGAGAGGGCGGGCCCGGGGCAGCCGCGCCCCGCCCCGCGGTGCGCAGCCTCCCGTCAGAAGAGGTGGGTCGGTGCCGCTGGAAGGGGCGGTGGTCGCCGGCGCTCGGGGACATTGATGGCGCGGCGCGGCTGCTGAGGGATGTCGGCTGCGGCTTGTGGCGGAGCAGAGCTGGCACAGGCCGGGGTGGGACAGTGCGACTTGGCGAAGGGAAAGCCGGGGCTCCTTGTTGCCCGGTGTTGGGAGCGCTGAGGGAAGAGCCCCTGAGGAGGGGCCCGGCGTGGCGCCCAGGTGCGGGCCGCCTCTCCGCCGGCGTGCGGGAGGGGAGGGCGGAACGGGGAGCCTGCAGACCCAAAAGGGCTGGCTCCATCCCCGCACGAGCGGCCGCCGCTCGCTCTCCCCTCTTTACCGCACAAAGCGGAGGGAGCCGTGTTTCCTGTCCAGGGACCTGCTGAGAAAAACGAGCGTAACTTCCCTATTGTTAACAGACGGGCCCTTCCAAAGGTGCAGTCCTGCGAGCCCCGAGCCCCCGCCTGGCAGGAGCGCGGCCCCTCAGCGCTCGCAGCGCGGGCACGGCCGGTGCCACGGCCCGGCTGCCTCTGTGAGCACCCCCGAGTCTCCCCTCAGTGCTACCCCTCGGGACTAGCAGAGAGTCGATTCTGGTTCCCGTCTTAATGTGGTGCAGTCACGTCAGAAGGATGAGGAAGATCGGTGTGTCCAACCCGTCTGTCAGGGCTGTGAGCATTGCACAGCGGTTTGGGACCCAGGACGGCAGAGCAGGATGTCACCTAGTGCGCCTCAGGCAACGTTTGCTATTATCTCTCGGAATCCACTTTTCTTCTTTAGACTCTTGCTCTAATTTCTTTCAGCCGTTGTCATCCTGCTGTGGGAGAAACGCAGGTAATGTCCCAGTGCATCTCACAGCCTGTTCTTTCGGCCTCTGAGTATTAAGACAGTTGTAACCACTAGAAATTTCTGAAACCGATTTGCCTTCTATGAGTCACAAAATGTTCACCAGTGCTTTAACCTGCTCAATATAAAGGCTGACTATTAAGAAGAGGGAGGGGATGCTCATGCATGATTTCATTGTAGTGCTATTAAAGGGAACATCTGGGGAAGGAAGTGTGGTACCTCAACTTCTAATTGAACCTATTTCATAAACAAGGTGAATGACTAGATGTACCAATTAGGGTAGAGTTGTGTCAGATCCTGCATAGTACAATTACTCATGGTACTAGAGACCAGTTTGTAGAGTGTTAGAAAAAATTTTTGGAAGAAATTTCAAATATCTTTCAGATTTTCTGAGGGGACCATTTTTTATTTGTGGAATCGAGCCAAACAATTTAGAAATGACTGCTGGTAATGTTAGTGTGAAGCACTTTTATTCTTGGTGCTTGTGGAATTTGAAGGAAAGTAAAGTTTCCCAATTCTCCATTTTGGAAACCTGTGCAGGGTGCTCCAGGTAGAAAAAGAGGTGAAATGTCTACCTTTCCAAAAGCCCTAATATCCACTATGTAAATAATTTCATTAAATATATTTGTGAAGGCTTGAAAGAGCAAATGTGACACTTGCCAGTAACATACTCGTTGTAATGACTTTCATATTAATATCAAACTTATTTTTAAAAATAAACATTTCAATTGTACATCTTTTCAATAACCTTTTCCTTCATTTTAGGTTTCTCAGTAAAAGATTGTGAAACCAAACTTGCTGCAGGTATACATCATGGTCATTTGAAGGTATACATCATGGTCATTCTGAAATATTTTAAAAAATCAGTCATATTCTCAGAAATAAATTTGCTTTAATAAAATAAATCCTAGTTAAATATATTTGTGAAGGCATTAAATATATTTGTGAAAGAGCAAATGTGACACTTGCCAGTAACATACTCGTTGTAATGACTTTCATATTAATATCAAACTTATTTTTAAAAATAAACATTTCAATTGTACATCTTTTCAATAACCTTTTCCTTCATTTTAGGTTTCTCAGTAAAAGATTGTGAAACCAAACTTGCTGCAGGTATACATCATGTTCATTTGAAGGTATACATCATGGTCATTCTGAAATATTTTAAAAAATCAGTCATATTCTCAGAAATAAATTTGCTTTAATAAAATAAATCCTAGGGTTCCAGTTGTTTGTCAGCTTTACTTTTTTCTTAACTATAAAACAAAGTTACCTACTCTTTGCATCATGTTTCGTACCACAGCATCTTATATATGCAAAAGTGCATCCACACTTTATTTGCTCTTCAAGAGTTCATTTCCCATGTTGGGGGGATGGAGAAACTGCCTGCTCCATCTTCCCAGTCCCTACCTGGTTTGTGGCTTTTGTGTGCTCCTTGCCCGGTGATTCGGAAGTTCCTCCCTTCCTGCACAGCAGCCTTGTAAACCACAGGAAGGCTGGAAAGAGCCTTGGCTTTCATTTCCTGTTTCTTCCGTGGTTATTTTTATGAGGAGTTGAGGGAGCTGCTTATAGAGCTGCTGATCAAGCAGATATTCAAAGTAGGTGTTTTGATGGATATGTGAAAATTGCTTTTACGGTAAAATTGTTAATATGCAGAGGAGCAAAGTGTGAACTATTGGCATAAAACAGGTTGTAAAGCTCTGCATAGTAAGGCTGAAATTTGAACTTGAGGTAGCAGGCAGCTACCTCCAACAGATGTAAAAATGAATAAAGCCTCAGTTAAAAACCAGATACCTGGGAGTAATTATGTATTTGGCTTAAAAAATCAAGTATGGTCAAGGGCTACTTTTAGGTAGCTATTAAACAGCTTTAAAAGGCAGAGGTTCCCTGGAACTGGTTCCTTTCATGGCATAGTTTACACCAAACAAGATAATTGATGGAAAAGATCAGCATCTTGAAAATTTGTTGGCTGAATATCTGAATGGTAGATTAAAGAAATCTGTATTCTTGGGCTGAATCTCTGCTATGTGGGCATACATAAAATGCTGTGTGTGCTACTTGCTACATTTTATTTACATGCACTCTTCCATACCATGAAAATGTTAATTTAAAGGTGTTTTGTTTTAATTGTTTTATGGCTTATTAGGTGAAAATATTGCTTCCATGACTTCTTAACAATTAGTATTTTAAAATAGAAGGGCAAAACTTGGTATTTGTTTTGAAAGAAATATTCACCCTATGTGCATGCTGCATTTGACATTCATAGCATTGGAATACATAAGGAGTTGAGTCACTTCATTCCAACACAGTCCATAATTTTAAGAATATACAGCTAGCAAGAACTAAAATGTATGCAATTACTTCGAACTCTACACCAAGATGAGTGTTTGCAATAGCAGGTTTTTAAGTGGAGTCTATACATCAGTTTTGGAAGGGTTTCTTTCAAATTTTTGTCTACTTGTTCCATTGACTTTTAAGTGCTGATTATACTTAGAAATGTCACCTAATAACTTAGTATTTTGGGCTCAGTGTCTTATCACTCAGTAAAATGTGTTTCTGATTATAAAAAAAAGGAAGAATGGGAACATTTTCCTCCAATAGTACATTTCTGCACCTCTGAAACAAGCAAATCCCCTATGTTATTTTAATTTGGAAGATTATTCTACTAATTGTTGTAATTCTCTTTTGTAACTTGAGGAAGAAGAGAGCTGTACTCTTGGAAGATGAAGATTCTTTGGGGAATTCATGCTAATGCACTGGCATATTCTATGACTACCTTAGGTGCTGGAATGATGAACAGCATTTTTAATTTCTACTACGTTAAGCTATTCCTAAACCAATACAAAATTTCAGAAACAGGATTTCATGTAGCACAGGTACTGTACAATGGAATATTTTGATTACCATGTTGTGCTATGCGTCAGTGCTATTACAAAAAAGTGATCCTTTTAATGACAGATTAATTTTGGAATCATTGCAATTAATTAACAGTAAATTATCTTTGACTTTAGTTAATCCATAAGCAACGGAACTTACACATAAAGCACATAATTTACAGTCTGTAGAGTAAAAATCTCCAGACTTAATTGCTGAAAAGAGTTTTACATTTGATAGCTTGAAGTAATTTTCTAAACTGATTTTGCACCTCAGCTCCATAGATAAGTTTGACATTAGTGCTTTCCTATGAAGTGTTTAAGTACTTAAATTCTGCATTTATCCTGCAAGTCATTATCCATGTGAGTAACTCACGTTGTAAATGGTATCCTGAAAGTAATGGGCCAGCTCATGTTTTGAATTAACTTACTGTGAGAATAATGTCTGAGCTTTGCAGGATGAAAGCCCAGATTTATAAGGTTTTGAAAGAGTGGAGTCTTAGAGACAGTTTATTTCACACGTAGTTGGTCACCTACCTACTTACTCAATCTTATTTTTTCAAAATTTCTATAAACCTATGAATGCACATAAGAATTTGTTTTAGAGTCTGTTTTGACTCTCAGTGGCTGTTACTAAGTCCTAAGTAGCTGTACTAAGACTCCAAGACCTGTTGCACTCTGAGTAGCTTTTCTATGTTATGGTTGTGTTCGAGGGTCCCAGGACGAGGGGAGAGATGAGAATCTTGACTCCATGTTTCAGAAGGCTAATTTATTATATTATGAGATATTATATTAAAATGCTATACTAAAACTATACTAAAAAGAATATAGAGAAAAGATCCATCAGAAGGCTAGAAAGAAAAGGCAAGGAATGAATTACAAAATCCTGTGACTGCTCACAGCCTCCACACAGGTGGCTGTGATTGGTCATCAAGTGAAAACAATCCACATGGAGCAATCTAAGATGCACCTGTTGGTAAACAATGTCCAGACCATATTCCCCAGCCTTCCGATAGTTAATTGTTTACATTTCTTTTCTGAGGCTTCTCAGCTAGGAGAAAAATCCTAGCAAATAATTTTTCATCAAATATCATGGTGACACTATGTGTTTATTTATTGTCTGAATTGAAGTTTCTTTTAAATAAATATGCTGCGTTTGCATAATCTCTGTGGAAGAATGCCGGCAGTGACAAATCCCCTTGCTTGTGGCAGGTCGTGTTCATGATCTGGAACGCCATCAACGATCCCCTTTTCGGGTACATTCAGGACAACTCCCGGCTGGAGTGCTGCGCGAGGCGCCGGTTCTCCATTTTGTGCGGAGCCCCTGTGTACGGCCTGGCCTTCCTGCTGCCGTGGTTCCCCTGGAGGCGCTACCAGGAGGGCGACTGCCTGTGCGACCTGCACCTCACCGTCGCGCTGTGCCTTGGACGGCCTGCTGACCTTCGTGCTGCTGGCGCAGTGCGCGCTCTTCGCCGAGGGCGCCACCGGGCACGACGGCCGGCTCAGGCTCGTCAGGTACAACCAGGCGGCCACGCTGGTGGGCTCCAGCAGCCTTCTGTTCTGCGGGCTCGTGTCGGATAATATGGAAAACTTCGCTTCCTTTCAGGCGTTCGCTGTTTTGGTCGCAGCGCTGGCGACAGCCTGTATGTGTTGCGCAGGTAAATACAGCACGAGTCAGTATGAGCAGAGGGACGTTCGTACAGAGGATGCTGATCTGGAAAACAGTGGTGGAGCTTTCTCCTTGGCTTCGGTAGTTTCGTTGACCAAACAGATCATGACAGAGAAGAACTTTCTGTGTTTTGTAACAATGAACTTCTTCCAAGTCTTCCACCTAGCCTTCTACAACAATTTTATGATGATCTTTGCGGATAATCTTATTCCTAAGGATGTCCTTTCTTCCTCAGTAAGAAGTATCATGTATGGAGCAGGTTTTGTTTGTCCTCAGGTAGGCAGTCATATTTTATTTCTGAATATGAAAACCTGGTGTTTTAGTAGTTCACGGTATCCATTTAATGCTTGATTTGTCCTCAGGTAGGCAGTCATATTTCTGAATATGAAAACCTGGTGTTTTAGTAGTTCACGGTATCCATTTAATGCTTGAAAAATGCTGTATTTGGCATAAAGCATTTGCCAAAATGAGTACTAAATCTCACTCCCCAGTGCTCTAGAAGAAGAAAGTACCTCAGTGCAGGCTGATCAAGTGTAAGAGGTAGAGAGAGCAGACAGACAGGCTGGTGGAACATGTGTTGAAAACAATGTGAGACTTGAGTAGGCAAGGAATGAATGTTTTGTATCCTCCAGCACTTATACCTAAGCATGAAGGAATGAAAAACATGGCCAAGATCAAGCATTTCTAAAGCAAAATCTACAGAATTCTGAATTCTTTTTTGGATTTGTTTTGTTTTCCAATGCTGTGTATTACAAATTGAAGACTAAGCTCTTCTGCAGGAAGTTTCTGAAATAGTATGTTCAAAATACCAGCAAAAAATTAGAAAGTATGAAAGGCATTGTTAAAATATGTAGTATCTCAGTCATGGAAACCAAACAAAACTCTAAATAGCTGCTTTTGAAGAATAATACACTCCCATTTGTTTTGTTGATTGGTCTCTTGGTCAGCAGTATTTATGGGGAAGAGAGATATACTTTTAAGAGCCCAGTCAGGGATGAGGAGAGGAATAATGAACTGAAAAGAGAAAGAGAACCCAAAAGGGTAATGTGTGAAAACAAGCAGCAAAAGTATATACCCACAGAATTTCACCATACTTGTCTGCAGTAAATAAAAAATTCCTCTATTCATTGCCTTCTAACTTATTTCTCTAGATCTTTAAAAACTTTCTCTGTGTTTACCTGTTGGATGCTGAAAGTTAGGGTACTCAGAATAGGAGTATCATAGGTGCTGATGGTGTTCAGCATTTTTTTAAATCAGGCTGTTACATTCATTAAATTGTAATGAGTTTTGATAAGTAATATGTATAAGATAAATGAAAATGCAACTGGAATTCACAGCACAATTTCAGTTCCCATTTGGGCTTTTGCATATAAAACATACAGATCCTGAACATACCTTCTGTTCTATAACTATAATTTCAACTTTTGTCCTTATCACAGCTTTAATAGTTTTGGGGTTTTCCCCTGTACCTCAGACAGTTCGGTAATGAACTGTTAGGTAATGAACTTTGGAAATAAATCAGAAGCTACAGAAGTTAGGAAAGCTTAAATAATTTTACACTTGATATATAGCAATCACTTTTATTGATAAAATCAGTGTGACAGTGTGAAAAGAACAATCTTTCAGAAAATGCGTCCCCCTCTGCTCCCCAGAGACTCTTTGTCTGGAAGGTCACTGAACCGTAGAGGGTTTGCTGTGACCTTATTTTTCTCAGGTTTTGTCCCTTTGAGCTCAAGATACAATAAGAGAATTCTCTGATGGCAATGTCCTGAACTTCACTTACTGGAAAAACACCCGACCCTTGTAAAATAAAGCTCCTTTTTATGAACTCTGCTTCAGTGGCCTCTACTAGAATTCAGCTTCTGACTTAGGTTCCTTCTAGTAGTGGATGTGAGGAACACAACGTGCCCACAAGGAAAATGTTGCTGTAACATAGACAAACAACTTTGAATTTGCATCATTGTTAGTATTTTCCTTACAAACACACAGTCTTAAAGACGTGCAAGTAGTGAGGAATTTTCTAAGTCATAAGTACTTCCTGAGACAGGGTTATTTTGCAATTACAGGGAGACAGGAACATGGTGTTTACAATAGCAGGGATTACACGATCCCTTAGTATCTCTAGTGGAGGCACTTTTCAGCAAAATCCCTGAAAACAGCCAGGAGGAGGAGTATGTTTTAAATTTCTTATAACAAGCTATTTTTCTTATACCACCTTTCCAGATTTATTTTACCTGCCTGATCAAGTAGAAATGTTGAGCTTTTTGAACAATAGCATTTGCCATGGTAATCTTTGTCTGACCGTAGCATCCTGGTTTTATTTGTCATGTTAAAGCAGTTCAGTGTGGGAACAATTGCACAAGGAAATTCTTTCCTGTTCTTCATCTGAATATTACACAGTTCATCTCTGTAACACAGAAGAAAGGAGAAAATGTGGATCTTTATACAGATCCACAGATCTTTTTTGTATATTTGTGACAGAGATGAGGACCATGTACATGTAGATGGTGACAAAGGCCCATATAACAAAAAGAACATAATTCATTACAGAATGTCCTATTGAAACTGAAAAGTGAGGAACAATGAAGAACTTAAATTTTGTTCATACTATAATCAGCACTTAATACCATTTCCATGAGTTAGCCAGTCACTAGATTCTCAGAATCTACTCCTTGCCAAGACTGGCAAAATTAAAACTCAGTCATGCACAAGCACTGGCCTCTGCCTTTCTCTGCTTGCTAGTAAAGCCTCTAACTTGCTTAGTTAAAGCTGTCCTGGTGAGCTTGCTTTGACAACTTAAAAATCATGCCTGATTTCTATAAATGTCAATGAGAATAGTAATATTAATGAAGAAGCAATTACTGAAAATACATCTTTTCAGCAGTTACATGGCAAGATGCTTAATTTACAGTTACCATACTGCAAAGCTAATACTTTAAGGGATATCAAAAGTGAAGATCATGAGCATTAAATAATAGTTAGGCATTCTAGGGAACTGTTTCCCTCAGGATATAGCAGTTCTCTAGTTTTTGAGTGAAAGGAGGCTGTACCTAGTACAGTGGCATAGAATGAGCCAGTAGAGAATTGTCTTTGTTCAATTTCTGGGGTTTTTTAAAATTTTGTTAAGTTTCCCTTCTTAGGATCATTGTTTAGTTTTTCTTTTCTTTAAAGGGTATTAATTATATCAGGTCTGTGTTTTATAGTTCTCCTAATGCTGAGACACTGTACTGTATCTTTTCATCCTATATGTGTATATATTATCTTTTCAGTGCCTTGTTCTTCTCAGTCATGCTTTGTTGAAGAAGTTGGGTTATTACAGAATCATCTTGTTTTCCTTTTACTATGAAGGAGTAGCTGCTGCTGTCATGTGTCTTCTAGGGCAAGAACACTATTATCTGCTGGCATTTTATGTCACAACAAACATGTAAGTAAATCCACTTCCCTGTTCATAGACACAGCTGAAATACTTCTAATAGAGTAGATACTTGCTTTTATTACCATGAAGATTCTGCCTCTGCTTTCATGGCTTTCATTCTGTTTCACTTACCAGAAAAGTTGAAACTCCAATTACAGCTTTTCCTTTTTTTTTTTTTTCCTGGCTTTCATTTCATTCTGTTTCAGCTTTTATTTTCTGCTTGAAATAAACAAAAAAAAAAAGTCTAAAATGCAAAACAGCAATTACAGTTTGCAGGCACATGCCTCCAGTCACTTTAACCTGAGATGCAAGGGAGGAGAATCTCATGTTTTCCACAGACAGGGAAGAGCTCAGCAGAGGAAAGTCTCTCTCCCCAGGGACTGCTTGCTAGGAAAGCTCAGACCTCACCCTGTGTTGCAGGAACACTTGTGTGCTGCACTGCAGGCAGGGCTAACTCGGGTGTCTGTCGGGTAACCAGCACTGAGCCCATTCCCACTGATGCTCAGCAGTAAGATGCCAAGCTGTAGTATTTTCACATAAATACATAATGATACATGGAAAACCTTATTTAAAGATAAAGAGCTGTTTGTATCAGAATACTGTTGCAGCAGTTTTTATTTCTTCATATTCTCTTTCATTGTTGTCTTTCTCCATGTTCTTTCCTTCCCTCTTTTTCTTCATCTTTCCCTCCCCACCCCATTTTCTTTCTTATTTTCAGTATTGCAGTCGTGGGCTACTCTAACACTGAATTGTGTGAACAATAAATTGAATTTCGTTATCTGCATGTTTTAAATGATGAAGATGTGTTTTGATTTCTCCAGGAAAAAATTCTGAGGTACCTAAAGACTGTATGTTTAAAGTGCTAGTTGTTCAAAGTACCTTGTTAGTAAAAGCTCATCCCACCCAAAATTTAATGACACAGAAATTGTAATATTTTAGTTTATTGTTTAATTTGGCTATTTGTTAACAATCAGCTTTGTATGTGTGTGTTTGTGTGTGTGTTGCATGTCTGTATACATCTATATACACTGTAAATACAGATCTAGGAATGCATGTATTCTTTCTATTCTAATTCTTCCACCTTGAAGTTTATCTTCCACATGGTCATGTCTTTTCCAGACTTCAAGAGCAAATTTTCAGTTTCCCCTTTTTCTGAGGTACTTGTTTTCTCCTGATCATTTAAAATGACATTTACTGATAATGTTAAATTTATTGTCAGTGTTCACAACCTTTTACACCAATGTCCAGCAAAAAAAAATAAGAAAACCCCGCACTTTTAGGTTTGCATATTGATTTCTAATTCTCAACTAAGAACAGATCAGGTAATGCTTTCATGTTTTAAGGAACATCTCAGCTTTGTGTGTTTGCAGAATATCTGTGTTGGTGTGTTTGTGTTTGAATGTCAGTTACAATTTCATTATAAAGTGAATATAAGAACTGTGAACATCTTCAATATTTTGTTTTTCTTTAGGGTAATTGTGCAAGCTTCATTTAGCTTGTTCAATTTGCCTTTGGCAGATATTGTTGATGCAGATTTAATAAAGCACAAGAGGAGGTATGTCAGTCATTACAGTTTTGGTTTTTTTAACATGTTGTTTGCCTTGTTACTCTGATAATAAATTATGTCAAAGTAAAGACAGTAAATGATCTGGGATCCTTGATACAGAAGTACATTTTGTAAAAGCAGTTTAGCATAAATGAAGATCAGAACTTGAGTAAAGTTTCCTGCAGTTACTTCAGTAGAATCATTTAAACAGATTATTAGGTCATTTCTCTTTTTTTCTTATACTATAATATAAGCCAAGTCCTTCCAATTTTTGTGGCTTTATTTTTGTTAGCTTCAATTGAATTACTTTGTAACCAGGTACATCTATAATCATATATGCAATTTTCTGAATGAGGCCTTTCCAAGATGGAAAAGGTGTTAAGAAAGCTTTGCCTATGCTAGGGAAAATGCACATTTCAAAGTCTAACTGGTTCCTTTATCTCCCTGAAATAAAAGTGATAAAATCTGCTGCAGAATAGCATATTGCAACTCACTGATCTTTTGGATTTTTATCAAAGTGCACATAACTTCCTGTTGGTTCAATCAATTGTTATGTAAGTGTAGATTGACTCCTGTTAAAGAACTTGCCCCTCAAATGGAAGATCTGTTGTTTTCATGAGGAAAAAAAATGCCTCATTTTCTGGCCTATGCATGCAAAATCTTCAGTTGTGATTAATTCTCCATGCACTGTTCAGTCTAATTTAACTTCAATAATTACTCAAAGTGCACAAAGTCAAATTTAAGTACGAGTCACTTCAGAATTAGGGCCAAGCTGTGTCTATGTATATATGTGTGTATATATTTATATATATACTCATACACACGCCCTATAGAGTTTGTAACTTTTTATTTCCAAATAAATGTAAATTTCATTATGAGAGTAGATCTGTTTGCTATAATGTGTGAACTAGATAAATGTAAGGGTCATGATATTTAGAATTTGCATATTAACAGGATTTCAAGCTTTTTAAAATCACAATTGTAATTAATACACTAATAAGTTTGTGTTGTGCAATAATTTGTTTTTTCCCCAAATATTTTAGATTGCCACTTTCCTCTATGGTTTTTGGTACCAATGCTTTATTTACCAAGCCTGCCCAGTCTTTGGCTCCAATGGTTGTGGTTACAATACTAAATCATTATGGATATTATAACCTGAATAATGTACCTGGTCATCCTGATATAAGGTGAGTTCAAAAGAGATACTTTAAATCTTAGGAAATAACATGAAATACTCCTGTAATCTAAAAAGAAAATTGAGCAGGAATTGGTTTGCATCAAATGCACTTCACAAACATAAACACTTTAAAATACTTATCAGTTGTTTTTGTCTGTGTAGAAGTACAAATGTTTTTTAAAGAGTAAATAATTTATTAAACGATATACATGAGGATATCTACCTAATTTTGGAAAGCAAAGGATACCTTTCATCCCCTGGCTTTTTGCAATAAAGGAAGAAAATGTTAGAGATCACCTAATGGCTCAAATTAAGATGCATGTTGTCCTGGCATCTGAATTTTGTTTACCTCATAAACCTACTTCCTTAAATATATAATATAAAATGTTAAATATATAATATAAAATGTTAATCAGATTTCTTTTTTTTTGAGAGAAAGCAGTACAATCACTGGAGGGAGACACTTTGCCTCGAGTAGGAGTGTATCATTTTGGCTCCAGTACTCCTTACCATTCTCATGTTAATGATTGCATTTCAGTCCCTGGAGACCTTAATACAGCATAAAGCTGTGGTTGCTGGTTAGTTGGACGTGTGTGGGCTTTTATAAAAATAAATTAACAAGGAATAACCACACTGAAAGGGTCACGGGCTGTATTTATGACCATCAGGAGGAAGTGGCAACATAAGGAATAACTGAAGTCAGGGCTAAATGGAAAATTCAGTCCTGATTAGGATTTACTTGAGGGAACAACATGAATATCCTGAGAGCTACATAGCTCTCCTAAACTTTTAGTAAAAACCTAAAGGAACAGATAAGCACAATTTTATATGAACTTTTGTGGAGATAGCTCCTGAGGGAGAGAGGTCTGGTTATGTGTCAGGGTTAGGAGAACATTCCTTATTTGAGGAATTTTCTAAAAAAATGTATGAGGACAAGCGTGACATAAAAGAACAACAGGTGGTCTTCAGAAAAGCATCCAGACAGAAGCAAAGGCAGCTTAAGTTGAGGCTATGTGTGAGAACAGCTTTTTTTAATGCATTCTGTAGATAGCCAGTGAGATGATGTGAAGAGGACATGAACTTCATTATAATGTCAAATAAGATGAGTGATTTTTGCAGAAGAACTGGATGTGGATATGAGAGGGCTGAATATATTCATCTTGATGATTCAGAGAAATTCAGATTTGAAACATAAAAACTGCAGTTCTGATCCCTTTCAATCAGAGAAATGATCCCTTTGTGGATGGATTTTAAATCACAGTAGTCATAAATCTTTTTTGCGTGGTAAATAGCCCCTGGACTATAACAACAATAAATTTATTATATAGAGGCTGAAATACTTGGAATGCTCAGTCTATAAATCCTCTGTTTTCACTTGAATCATGCTGAAATCTTACTTATTTCACTGGGGCCAGGAACAGCATAAAACATACAAAGCTGAGATCAGTGAATCAGAGCACCTGAAATATATATTTATCTTGCCCATCCTTTCAAAAATAATTTCTTAAATCTGAAGCAGTTTGCCTGTGTTTCCTGTATATGTAGTGTGTGAATGGGTTTCCTTTGCTTGCAAATGGAGTACAGGGTTGATACACAATCCATGAAGACCAGAAAGCTCAAAGTTGTTTCTAGGGAGTCAGTTTGCCCTTGGCACTGTTCTCAGACCATTGACTGAGATAAAACTGCTTTTATATATATATATATTAAAAACCTATTGGCAGATCTCATATTTCATCCACAGCCACAGGCTGAAAATAAAAAAAACAGTTAAAATACATTTACCCCAGGACAAAGTTGTTTGAGGACAAACAGAAATTAAATACAAGAGATTGTTTAAAATACACCCAAACTGTTTTGGGGAAAATAAAGCTTTTCACACATGTGAATTGTATAAAATGAAGTATTATGACCCATTCCAATACAATCTCAGCTCTGTCCTTCCTCCTTCTCCAAAGCTGGCAATATCTATTAAGTGCTTTGGAAAGCATTTGCTTTATTAGGTGTAGTGGCAGTGAATTGTGAAGATAGTACAGAGGACCCTTATTCTGCATTAAAAAAATGTTTGGGCCCTGAATAAATATGTCTGAAGAGTTTCCAGCAATGTTGTTTACTGGGACAAAGCAGAATATGCAGTCTATACGCTATTTGCTGCATTCTGAATTATTCTTAATAATTTATTTTACTAATAATTATTACTTTTTCTTGAACTGAGAGTTAAACTGTAGCAGCAATGATGGAGCAGTTAATCCAGGAAAGCTCCAGGCACAGTAAGGACAATAAAATCATCAGTAATAGCCAGCATGGCTCCACCAAGGGGAAGTGATGCTTGACCAACTTGATAAACTTCTGCAGTGAAATGACTCGCCTGGTGGGCAGGGGAAGGCAGTGGAGATTGCCTGCCTGGGCTGCATTCCTCATGACCAGGATGATGGGGCAGGATGGACCCTCAGGAAGTTTGGGGCAAAGCTGGGGCTGTGGCACGTGCACAGAGGGTCACACTGCCATTGGGGGGATCTCAGCAGGCTGGAGAATGGGCTGGAATTAGGCACAGTCCTGCAGCAGGGCAAAGGTGATCCTTCCCCTCTGCTGACACGTTGTGCCACATCCTTAGGAAGTGTGGTCACAGAAGTTAAGCACTTTGTCATGGAAAGTGGTTTTTAATACCTTTAAAATTTGAGCAGTACTTTGCAGAATGGAGTGTCCTGGTTTTTTCATTCGTCCATCATCATAGCAAATCAGTACATGCCCTGTATGGCTTGAGATGTGTTTTGTCCTTGTTTGGTTTGGGGTTTTTTTGGTATTTTTTTTAGTTTGGCTTGATTTTTTTTACTTTGCCATGGAAAAGATGCCTAGTTTAAAACCTCCCTCTTCTCTTGTTTGGTTTGGGGGTTTTTTTGGTATTTTTTTTGAGTTTGGCTTGATTTTTTTTTACTTTGCCATGGAAAAGATGCCTAGTTTAAAACCTCCCTCTTCTGGAGAGCCACTGCAACTACCACCAGCTTCTCTTGAGAGTGCTTTTCAAATTCATTCTTCAGAATAAAGTTATTTGGCAGCAATTCTTCATTATTTATTGAAGGCACTTTAAACTGTTAATGCTTTCATATTGAATTACTGAACTACCTGACATTCTGTTCAGAGTGATTTTAGGGCTGTTTAGGGAAACACTGTATGTTTTATTCCTGTGTGTGGAAAAAAAAAAAAAAAAAGGTAGATGTGGAAATTTCTGAAGTTACTTGTTTGGCTGTAATTGTGATAAAAGTCTGCTCTTGATTTATCCCAGTCCCTTAATGAAATATTTTCCCATTCCTTGTTTGTGTATTATATTTTTTCATAATTCCTTCAATAACTTAAGGTTTTTTGTATGTTTTATTCCTGTGTGTGGGGAAAAAAAAAAAAAGGTAGATGTGGAAATTTCTGAAGTTACTTGTTTGGCTGTAATTGTGATAAAATTCTGCTCTTGATTTATCCCAGTCCCTTAATGAAATATTTTCCCATTCCTTGTTTGTGTATTATATTTTTTCATAATTCCTTCAATAACTTAAGGTTTTACAATACCATAGGTAATATTATTTTCTTAAATCAGCATCGTCTCAGTGAAACCAAATCAGGATTGCAGAGTGTGAGTGATTTTGCAGATGTTCTTTGTGTAAAGATGGAATAATGTTAGCAGGGAAAACTGCAATCCTCCTTAGTGTGCAGAGCAGGCCAAATGCAAGCCCCAACATCCTGTTAACTGTGTCTGAGTCCTGTTCTCATCATTAGGTGGTTATTAATGTGTCTGTGGCTCCCTGCTGGCACTGGGGCAGTCCCTGCACTCCTGCAGTCCCTGGGGGCAGCTGTGCCAGAGCTGTGCATGATGTGGGCTCCTTCCCCTGTAGGTGCACTGGAAATGCAGCTGGATACAGGCCAGTAAACAACTCCAAATGGTAAATTCTTGTCACTGCCAATAAACATTGGCTATGGACCAGTGGCCTGCTAGTGAACATTTCCAGCCACAAATGCAATTGCCCGAGTGATTAAGTGATTCACTTGTGAGCCTGTGGGCTTTTGTTTTCTTATGTAGCATTAGCATGTACATGGTTTGAGATAAACTGTGCTCATTTATGAGCCTGTGTCTGCACTAAGGACAGAATCTGGGCTTTGTTGGAGGTTGCAAACATTTTTTTTGTTAAACTGAGTGAGACATGAGTTGATTCTTTCATGATTCAGTGGAGCTCTTAGGTTTTATTCAGAAAGCTGCTCAAGGTTTGGGGGATTTTTCACAGATTTTAGTTTTTTTGGACCATGTCCATAGCTGTTCTGTGAGTCTCTTATCTCATCCATGAATGCTAAGGAAAAAAAATTAGAAAGGAACATAAACTGCCTCATGGAGAGAAAGTTCACTTAGGGGCTGTTTCTCAGCTTGAGTTGACTTTCCTGATATTTAAGTAATTAGAATCCCATAATTAACAGAATGCAAGTAGATAATGATTCCTACTAGATGAATGCCAAAATGCATGCTTTGAGCTGTCAGAAACCATACTGCTCATAAAAGGGAGCTCATTTAATTCCTGTATTTTCTTGCTTCATTCATATTTGCTGATGCTTTTATTTATTTTTCATTAGAGAATATTTAAATGAGGAAATGCCATGCATTCATTACATAAAAAGAAAACTAGTGTTGATTTCACATTTATTCTTTCTATGGCTTATATTATCTTGTAATCACTTATTTTAAAACCAAATTAAATAAGGCATGATATTTCAAATGGCCCTTGAAACCACACCTGAATTTTGTGCAATTATCATTACTTTTATCTAGCATTCAGCATCTAAAACATCACACTATGTGGATAATTAGAGCACAGAATTCAACTCAAATAAATTAATTTCATATTCAAATGTTTGCTTCCATTTTCTACTTTTCTTTCTCTTCCAAATTTTACTAAATCTTTTTGGATGCTCTGTTCTATAATTGGACGAAATTTGCTTAAATTGATTCCTATATTACATAATCAGGAAAGTAGTCAACTGGATTTCTTAGGTTGTATTAAAATTAACTCTTTCTGTGCTAATTGTCTGAATTCCTCCCACCTAGAGAAAACAATATATAATACATATCTGTATGTAGAATTAGAAAATACACAAGATGTTTCTATTTCTTTTATTTAGAATTGACTGTACAGTAGCATGTCTATGTGTTTATAATGAGAATGATTTTAAAATAACTTGTTTAGTGACCATGGAAGTTAATCTTCATATTGAAAGCTGTGTTCTCATTTGTTTCAGCAGGTCATTTTTAGATCTCCATGATGCCATGTTCTACCTGGTCTGTCTGGTTCCCCTCTGCATTGCAGTCCTGCAGATCCTGACCTGGACTCCCTTTTCCATCCAGAACAGCCACCTGGCAGCTCCACAGTAGTTGTGGAGCCAGTGCATCTCCTGGTAAACCACAAGAGAGTTCAGTAAGTTTTTCATGTGAGAAAGCAATATTGCAAGGATGAAACACAGTTTTGAGCTGTTTCATTCAGTCTCTATAGACTGTGACTCACAATCAGCCTTAATGCTGAGCCTACACAAGTTTTTCCTAGTTCAGTTGCTTTCTGTTAATGGGTTTTATCCTTAATTACTTTATTTAAAGTAATTTCTGGTATGTAATGATTCCTGTTAACTCATTTGAAGAAAGGATGTGGCAGATTAGGGAAAGGGATCCCAACCCAGCACCTGGAATTCAAAGGAACTGTATTTTCTCAAGCGTACTGGTAGATTAATTTTGCCATACTGATAAAATGGCAGATCTCTGAAGTTAATCTGGAAGATCCCAGTGGACATCCCTCATGGATGGCAGGGAGATAAAAATTTAGATGCTGTCTAGCTGGCCAGTATCAAGACAGATCTGACAACTGCCAAGGGAAGATCCAAGAGTAATTAACTACCCTGTGAAAGTCTGTGTAAGGCTAAAGAAGAAAATGATTCAGTTGCTCAATATGGGAAAAGCTCAGTAAGTCCTCACTGGCTTTCAGAATCTCTGGTTGGTGGAAGGTCAGTGAAGTTTTCTGGCTTTAAATGGGAAAATAATTTTGAAGGTATCCTATAGTTAGTGCCTCACACAGAATGTCATCGTGGCAAGGGCAGCATTAGTCTGTGGATGTAGGGATCAGCTCTTGGACAAATGTAGGCACACACAGTTACTAAACCAAGCTCTACCTGTTCACTGGTGTTACTTTGGCTAACTCATTTGGTGTGTGAATATTTAAGTTAATTTCTGAATCATCAAGTTGAAGTTAGTTAATTTCTGATTAATTCTTATTGGTTAAGATTTTAAATGAATCCTGTGATTTTTATAAAATAAAGGGTTTTTGACCAAAATTTAGAAACATTGAGTTCTCTCTTCATTTCACACATTGTAGTGATAAGACCATGGTGTAATTGTGCAGTGATAAATACCTTTAGCATAATACAATCACTGCATTTTTGTATTTTGTTTTGCCTGTACATACAGTTTTAGTAGCACCTTTCTTAGGGAGTGCCACTTGAAAGTACAAGAGCATTGTGTGGATGCCAGTTTGAAAAGGCTGAGCAAGCTGATTTTCAAGGCTCTACACTTACTGTGACAGGTAACTTGGAAGAAAAAGGAGTGAGAAATGGCTTTGCATTTTGATGGACACCAGCATAATTTAATGAAGAAGTTTGAGATTTGAAATACCACAGTTGAAAAAACCCTTCATTTGTGCCTCAGCTTTTACATTTGCAGAGTAGAAATAACATCATTTCCTTGCCTTTTTTGAAGTGTGAAGTGCTTTCAAGGCGATGAATGAAAAAGAGGGAGATCATCATTAAATATTTAGAAATCCAAATGAATCCTTTGATAGAAAGATGAAGATTTATGTTAAAATGTAAGAAGCCAGAACTGTGGTGAAGTTTGAAGTTGCCTTATCTGGTTTTTATCTGTCTTGTCAGAGAGGCTGTTGCCCATTTGCATTGTGCATGCTGACAGCATTATGTGATGCACATACAGCATCACTTGTGTAAATACTCTGTGGATGGATAAATACAAATACCAGAGCAGATATAGCCTGTGTGTTTGGGTTTTGAATTTGAAAAGGTTTCCTGCATTGTATGTATTTATTTCATGTCTGAAAGGCAGGAGCAGAAGTCAAAGAAATTTAAGTTAATACAGTCTTTGATTCATTATATGGAAGTCTTCTCCCTGATAGTTCCTTTAAAATGGTAATAACATTAAATAGTCTCTTTTTTCTTTATTGTTTCTGTATTTCCTAAATTTCCCATGTTTATCCTATCTTCAGAGAATATATATTTTAACACATACAATAAAATAACATTATTGTACCATAAACAGGGTTTGTTAGGTGACTGTGTTAGTTATTTCTAATATTAAGTTATTAGAATATAGTGTACAACTGGAAGACTACCATTCTATACAACAAGAAAGGTAATAAGTGGTTTTAAGAGTCAAAATTGCATCAAGAATTCATTGAAATCATCAGAATTTTTTTTTTCTGAAAAGTGTCTGGTAAAGTTACCATTAATTTGCTGAAATAAGGAAAGGAGTAAGGAGTGACGTGACTCAATGCATTGTTTGAATAGGCTCTACAATCTGCTGCCTCTCTAGAATTCTTACAGGAAAAGTAGAAAATCAAAGATTTCTAAGCAAGACAGCCTGAAGATAGAAGACATTAACTGTAGAATAAACCAGTTCAGGAAAAAAAAAATCTGAGAAATACAATTCAAATTATTTAATATGTAAAATATTAATAGTTTTCCAAATTTATTATGCACTATTCTCCCATGTCTCTGTCCTATTTTCCTTGCTGTAAGGGCTGGAGAAATGTCTTTTAGAGCATCAATAGTCAATCCCAAAGAGGACTGGAAGGGCACTTTAAATTTGGGTGATGATCTTCCTGTGGGAATAGAAGGTTGGCACTGTGCTGTGACTGACATTGCTTATTCTCCATTTCTCTGTCACCCACTAAACTTTGTTATCTTCTGCTAAACCTACATGATTGGTTTTGGCTGTGAATCAAGTAAAGGATGATCAAAGGCAAAAGTTCAGTGTCTTACAACAGCTGGTTTCCCTGCTTTCTCTCCTTATTAGCCAACAGTATCTGAGCTTGAACTCCCACTGCTGGAAAAATGCCTCAATTTCATCTGGATAATTTAAGAGTGTCTAAAAGAGTCTCATAACTGATAAAGAGCCTATAAGTGTGTGTATAGTATAAAATATGAAATGCTGTGGTAAGCTCAGAGGAGGAGAAATGTGATGCTTGAATCCCATTCTTAGAGTTTATCTATACATTCTGAGAATATGGAACTTAATACACTGAATGAATTTTATTTATTGAAAATCAATAAGCAGAAATGTCTGCTAGACTTAAAAGCATGTTGCCCAACAGACACTAAAGAATGTTAGTCTAATATAGTAGTAATATAATATATGTTCAGTGATAGAGTGAAAATATTGAATAAATGACAACAAAGCATATTTAATTTTAAGTGAGGAAAAATGATGTTTTGTGGAGCTTACATGGCTACCTCTGTTCTGGTCTTGTACAAAATGACCTTCCCAGTCTCCTGCTGTCCTGATTTTTTGATTTTGGAACTGCTCATGAATGTACTGTGTTGACATGGCTGGTAGGAATGTTTACATCTGAATACAGTTCCACAGCCTAATGGGTGCTGTCAGGAAAGACAAGCAGGAAGGGGAAGGAACACTTCAGATAAGCCACATCTCCACAAGTGCTTCTAGCACTTCCTGGCATAACTAAGCCAGCTTGTGGGGGAAGAGGCTCAGTGGTACATGCGGGCAAAAGAATTCCAGCTGGTTTGGCAAAGGAACATACAGCTGAGACTGGGGAGAGTTGTCCTGAAGGTCTGGACAGACCCACAACTGGGCTTCCTGGGTTACCTTTGGGGACAGGATTTTAGATATCTGTGTTTACCTTAAGGACCTCTTTCTGGTAATGCCTTTCTTGCTAATGTTTCAATAATAGAAGGGAAAGTTGTTTTATCACTGCGTTTGATGCCTTGTGAAGGCTGACCTAGAACAGAGACTAGATGGAGCTAAAGAATAAAGTAGGTGTTTATTAGGAGGCCTCAGTAAATCCAGCTTGGGCAGGACAAGAGCCCAGGCAGGGCTACACCCCAGCTGAACCCAAAATGGTCACAAAATGCATGACCAGTCATGGGGTCTCTCACTTTTATAAGTTCTGGTCCATTTGCATATTGGAGTTAATTGTCCAATTACAGCTTTAGATTATGCAGTCCCATCCTTCATGTTTTTGTCTCTTCAGTCCATGTTGTTTATGCTCCTGGCCTGAGATGTGGATCATCTGTCCAATCCTTCATGTTTTTCTCTCTTCAGTCCATGTTGTTTATGCTCCTGGCCTGAGATGTGGATCATCTGTCCTAGGTCCCCAGCTAGAGAAGGAATTGTTTTGTCTCCCTTCTCTGTACAGAGAGCTCACCATTCCCTAATATGAACCCCAGACCCACTAACTAAAGCAGCACAGAATCTCAAAAATACAAAAGCTAAAACCTGAGGCGTGACGTTTTATTGGGAAAACTGAGGATTCACATCATAGACCACACGAGGCTGTGCAGCCAGCCCTGCCACCGAGGCTGCTCCAGAAGCCAGGGAGGGCCAGCACGGCACCAACTGCTGGGTTCATCCCTCTGGGTGGGCTTGGGACCTTTTCTACTCCAGGGATTCAGTTGATTATTGAAGTTTTCCATCAAGACAAAGGAAAAAACAGTCTCCAAATAGAGGAGCAGAAAGTAGAAAAAGTGATTCCATTATTTCTGGGAATCCTTTCCCAGCACACTAATTGAATGACAAAGCTTGCTTGCCCCACAGAGGGTTTGCTGAGGTTGTCCAGCAGCTGGTTACAACTCCACCAGCTTCTATGCAAATGACTATACATCAAAATTCTTTCCTAAATATGCATGAATAGTGAGTTCTTTATGGCTTGTCAAGAGAAAAATATGCTGAGTATACAACTGCTGCATCAGAATGTTAATGACAAATGTAACACTGGGTAGGAATTTTGAAAAATTCCAGTAAAACACACCCAGGTTATACACTAACGGTGCAAAGACAAAAGCTAGCAAATTTCTTAATTTATTTGGTATGCAATCAATTATCTGTATCTTTTGATATGATAAAACCAAGATATGTTTCCCTGTGAACAACATGTAACTAACCTGAAGTAATTATATTTACTGGTTTATAATATTGTGAGCAGATGTCTGTTTAAAGACCAACAAATTTATCTTTTGTCATTTTGGATTTTGATTTTAAAGTTGTTTTATTCCTGGAGGGGATAAAATAAACTAGTCTGTCTGTACAAATAAGAACAGGCATGGAAAGGAGAGTCTTAATCCCAAGCCAAATAAAAATAGACCAAAAAGGCATTCTAGCCCATCTAGCTATTGGAGAGAGAGGAAAAAAAAATGACAAACCAAAAAAAAACCCCTAACAATCTTCAGTGGACAACTGTCTAAAGCTCTCAAGTCAAAAACTTCCCTCAAGGGGGTTAAACATCAGTGAAAATGAACTGCACACAAAAATCCTCTGGCAATAATCTGCCGTTGCTCTGGTTTTGCTGATTTCCCAGGATAAGCAAGGTTGGATGTGATCAGTGCTCGATCAGAGGGGGTTCCAGGTAAAAGCCAGGATCCCAGAGGGCTCTGGCTGCCAGCGCCACCCTCCCGATCACACGAAGGGCCGGGCGCGGCCATCGGACCCGCTCTGAGGGCGCGGCCATCGGACCCGCTCTGAGGGCGCGGCCATCGGACCCGCTCTGAGGGCGCGGCCATCGGACCCGCTCTGAGGGCGCGGCCCGCGCCTCCGCCCCGCGCCGCTCTGCGCACGCGCGGCTGACAGGGCGGCACCGAGCACGTGCGCCAGCGCCGCCGAGGCGCCCTCCGCCCGCCCGCCGGCCCGGGGCGGGGACGAAGGAGGAGCCCGGCCGAGGGGCCCGGCCGAGCCGCCGCCAGCCCGCCCTGCCCGGCCCCGCTCCAGTTCGAACGCAGCGCGGCCCCGCCCGGCCATTGGCGAGGGAGAGGGAGGGCGCGGGTGTGCGCGCCAGGCCCCGGCGTGTCGCAGCGAAGACGTCCGGGCGGGCCCCGCTGCCGCGGCGGCGCGTTCCGCCCGGAGCTTGTGCGCGGGCCCCGAGCGGAGCCGCCGCTGCCATGGAGCGGGGGGGCGGCGGCGGCGCGCGGGGCTGATCGCGCCCCTTCCCCATGAGACTGTGGCTGTGCTGGCTGGGCTGCTACACCCTGCTCCTGTGGGTGCTGAGGAGGACGATGTGGGCTGGCCCGGCCCGGTACCTGCGGAGCCCTTTATCCAGGTCCCTCTACGTGAATATGATGGGCAGCCACCGCCAGCCAGCCCCGGGCGCCAGGGAGAACCACCAGGTACAGCCCCGGCGGCGGCCGCGCTGCCCGCCCCTCCCTTCCCTTCCCTCATCGTGCCGGGCTGGGCGGCGGGGGCGGCACAGGGACCCCCCGCCCCCGGGGAGCTCCGCCGGGCAGGGGCGGGGGGTCCGCCGGGGGGGATCGGCGGGAGGAGCGGGAACCCGGCTGCGGGCTGAGGGGGCAGCGGGCCGGGCAGCGCAGACAAAGAGAGGGAACCGCTCTGTCCTGCGGTGAGAAAGTTGCCGTGCGCCCTCCCTGCGGAACGCGCCGCGGAGCGCTGCCGGGGCCGCGGGCTCGGGGGGGTCGCGGCGAGCCCGGCGGTACCCCGGGGGGGGGAGCAGCGCCCGTCCCGCACCCGGAGCGGGCCGGGGCCGGAGCTGCTCCCGGGAGAGGGGCACCCCGCGTTCTGGATGTGCACCCCGCGTTCTTGACGTGCACCCCCCGGGTTCTGGATGTGCACCCCGGTTTTTTCAACGCGCACCCCCGTTTGTCCGGTGAGCCCTGTGAGAGCGCTCCAGGGAAGTTTGCAGGTGGTGGGTTTGTAATCACAGAGATGTTTGTAATTAGTACCGGTGCATCTAGAGGAAAACAAAAAGAAAGTGGGGAGCTGAGACTCCCACAGAGGCCTTGGAGCAGTAGGAGGAGGCAGGCTAGGAATGAGTTGTTGCAATGTGATCCGGCTGCGATGAAAGGTTAGCGCTGTGTTTGGGCAGTGTGGCCGCGGGGGTCGGCACCTTGTGGAGAAGTTCGGGGCCGTGCCCTTGCACTGCAGTGGTTGTGTGATAGATTTCATTTGGAGTGTGTTCAGATCCGCACTGTGTTTTGGCGAAATGCTGCTGAAAATCTGACAGGAGTTAGAAGGGCTAATAAAAAGTCTTAGTGCAGAAGGAAGCTGGCAGCTTAATCGAGGTTAAATATGCAGAAGCGAGCTAACGAAGAAGATGTAGTATAAGCACTTGAGGACTGCTGTACAAAGGAAGACCGTAATTCTTCCTCCTGATCCATTTCTGCCGCCTTCTTAGTGCTCTGGGTAGGCATCCAGAATCTTGTTGTGTGGATGTATCCCTGGAATTTAATGCTTGAGGTCTGCTGTTGGTATCATTCAGGACATAAGTACAAAGAGAAGCGAATTCAGTTTACAGGAAGAACTTCCTTCTGGTGAACAAAGAAAATCTCAAAGTCTTTTGTGTTGTTAAAGCTGTAGCAGAAGGACAAGTCAGGGAAATGTGTTGTGAAGGTGCCTGTGTAATTCACAGGTAGATGGTCTGCAGTAGATAATCCTCATCTCTATTTTATTTGATCAGGATTTTAAATGTAGGTATTGATTATTTAATACATTCAGTAAGATTTATGGTTACTGAGTTTGTGGGGTAAGCAAGGGTTGCATGCTCAGACTGCTGGTACTTTGACTCTGCAGTTTTACTGACTTAACTAGTTTTATGTAAATTAAATAAGTCTTTCATTCTTTTACTAATATTAGGCAAGAGTTGCAATGTTTGTAATTTTTGTTGTAACAAAGGTCTGAGCACAATAATCTGAAAATATATAAGGGATTGACACACACTGTCACATAACTAGTGACCTTTCATATGTTGTATGTGGAGGAAAAAAAAGCAGTTTCTGTTCTGAGGAAGTAGTTCTGGAATTAAGCTGGTTTTCACCATTGTTTTTTTTCATTTGAAATTTAGATTGGGGTTTTGGGGGCTTGTTTGTTTTTTTTCCTCTTATAATGTGCTAGAACTTCTGTTATTCACCAGTGTTATATAGGTAGTTGTCAATAACCTAAATTGGCAAGATTAACCGTGAGAGATCACAGAAACATTGAATCATTAAGGTTGAAAAAGAGCTCCAAGATCGTGGTGGTATTTCACCAAATACCACCACACCCACTAAACCATATTGAGAAGAAGAAATTGGACATCTCTGAACAGCACCTAATTTTTGGAAACAAGCTTCTGTTAAGTTGTCACCATCATCCTTCTGCCAGTTATTATGTCAATATTTCAAAGTCTTAAAGACAAGAATTGTAGGACTGTTGTTTTTCAGTGGATCTGCAGGTGAGAGTTCAGTGCAGAACCCCAAGGTGTATGAGCTCAGGTGTAGTCATGCTGCTTATGGAACAAAGCCTCTTTCCCAAGGCTTTGAAAAGATTTTCTTCTGGATTGAAACTGGCAGCACATTGCAAAAGGCAAATCATCTGAGCCACTCCTTGTGAGTGAACCTGACGCATCCCAGCCTGCTCCTCAGCTCTTGGGATCATTTGCTTCTGCCACACTGAATGAATGGACAAAGTACACCAGCTTTAGTGGTTTTTCAGGAGCCACTAAGGATTCCTTTTGGGAATCACTGCCCTATGCTGATTTATTGAACAAGTGCTGAGCTGCAGTGAGAAGAGACCTAAAGTGGTGAATCAGCAGTTTTGGGGATCCCTGTGCCAGGCTCAGAATCTGTGTTTCAGAGGAAAGGATCACTCACTTGTTCTACCCACCAGTGTGTTTGGAAGTACAGCTGAGAGCCTGAGCGTGCCAGCAATGCACCCGTTGTGCAGGAGGTTTTCAAACCTCAGCAGCACGTTTGCTGCTCAGCTGAGGAGTCTTGGGGTCTTCCCTCTCTGCTTTGGGCCAGTGTTTGATGGAGCCCCTGCTCACGGATCTGGCACAGGGGCCCTGGAGCACTGTGTGCTCCCCTCTGCTTGCTGGGAAGCTGCACACACTGCAGTCAGAATCCTGTCCCATTCCAGTGATGACTGCCAGTTCCACTGTGCTGAATTCTGTGTGAACCTTGAGTGAATGTTCCTCTCCCAACAAGGCAGACAAATGTGATGGGATCAGGGTCTGAGCACATGTGTGTTAAATCTTTGGGGAGTTACCCCAGCTGACAGTTTCTGTCCTTCTGTGTGCATTTTTTGCAAGATTCTGCTAAAACTCTGCATCTCACTTTAGGATACTTAAAGCTTTCTATCTGCACAATGAACACATGCAGCCAGATTAAGGAATATTATTGCAAGATTTAAGGGGGAGATGAGAGGGTGTTGGCTGTAGAGAATAATTCTTAATGGTAGAAAATAGACACAATGGCATTTTATGAGAAGGACTGGCACTAACTCCATGTAAGTATAGGCAAGTGAAAAGTAATGGTGATGTTCTTCATTAAAAAGAAATTTAAATATTTTTAATATAACTTTTGCATAGAGGACCTATGTTGGCTTTCTAGGGAATTTACCTGTAGATATCTTCCAAGTACAGGGTAATAATTAAGGCAAAAACTAGAAACACTATTTCTTAGCAAGTAATCAGTCCTCACTTTGTTACAATTCTAAGTTTGTTGGAAAGACTGTAGGAAAAGCTAAATTTTTGTATTTATGAAAATTGGTAATAGTTTTGTATGTATTAATTTTGTCTACTTCTGGGTTTACATTGCTGAACTTCTAAAATGATCCTTTATCTCTTTCTTTAGTGGTATGTCTGCAACACTGAACAGTTGTCTGAATCCCTTCAGCCTATTTTTGTCCAGAGTTACCTTGACCAAGGAACACAGATCTTCTTAAACAACAGCATTGAGAAGTCAGGCTGGCTGTTTATCCAGCTCTATCACTCTTTTGTGTCCTCTATTTTTAGCCTTTTTATGTCTAGAACATCTATCAATGGGTAAGTGAAAAGTTGATCTTGGGTAAGCTAAATACAGGTTGGATTTAAAGTTTTCAAGTGTTCAGCCCTCCCCTTGATCTGCCAGCTTGTCAAAACGTGTAATTTCCCTTTGCTGCTCTGTCAGATGTGAAATGTCCTCCTGTGTTCATCATTCCCAGCCCTCTTAACTGGTGAACACCATTTCCAGTGTGGGGGGACAGAGGAGGTAATTGCAATTAATACAGGGCAGTCAGAGGATTCTAATTGCATTTTATAACAATTACTTGTGTTAATTTTCTTCTAAGAGAGTGTTCTTTATGTCTCTTCCCTCAGCTTTCTTCCCCCCTCTCACTTTGCCCTTTGCCTACTGCCACATTTGTATCATTTACTGTTGTGATTGTCCTGGTGGCTGTATCCAGACTGTTCTGTATTGTGCCTAAAATTCTTCCTACTGGAGAGTGTTTGCCTGTCCACAGCAAATCATGGCACATTTCTAAACACTGCACAGTTGCCCAAGTGCTGTGTTTGGTAACATAAATGTGGAGTATTTTTCTTTCTCTTATTCTCTAAAACAATTTCACCTCAATTTGTGTGTAAGCTGCACTGGAACAGATCACTTCAGGAGCATGTTTAACTGATGAACCATCAGCAAAGCAGGAAAACATTAGTTGATAAAACAGCATTCTTCAATTCTTATTGCATCAGTTGCAGAGGAGTTTGGCTGTTCAAGGGTGATTTGGTGTTTTTTTCAAACAAGGCAGGGTTCTTTTTTGCTCATCTTACCCCATTTAGACATATTTAACAGCTTACCAGCTTTGACCTTATGAAAAATGCATTTTTTTTACATTTAGCCAATTTCTCCAGTATCCCCACCTCTGCACCTGCTACATACTTCTGCACAGTCTGATACAAAATAGGAGCTGTCTACTGGGGCTAGAAAAATAGTCTTTTTCCTTATTTTCTACTCAGATGACTTTATGAGCTTCCCTGTGGTGTTCTTAGTTATGTGTAGCTTTATATAAAGGTTCCTTTGGTCTCTTCTTCCTTTCTCTTGATTTTTTTTCAAAGGCTCTTCAGGGCTTTGAATAACACCTCATAATGCTGTTAGGAATAATAGCTATGAGCCAATTATACAGTGTGGACTGACACATGTGTGCTGCAAGGGGGCTCTACTTAAATTGGATGTAGTCTGTTTATTTTTATACATTTGATATCCTGCTTAGTTTCTTCTCTATGACTTTGTATACTCTGTCCTTTTTGTTTCCTTGGGTTTTAGTAGTCAGTCTTTCCTAGGCCAGCTCCTTTTCACATCTTTTATTCTTTGAGTCTTTTTGTCTCTGTTTACCTTTTTTCTTCTTTGCTTTTTTTTTTCCTGTTCATTGTCTTTAAGATTAACCTTTAAGATTAACCTGCTGTCCAACAGGAGTTTAAAGAATAGTATTTATCTACCTGCAGTCTATTAGTGACCAGTTCTTCTCCCTCTGCCTGTTCTTCTAACTTTCATCACTGAATTCTGCTATGACAGCTGAAACGTGTCACTGTGTAGTCTTCAAACAGTTATGGGCGGGTATGGCATTGACTTGATCCGTAAGGAATCCAACTGTCACCTCTACCCAATTCCTTAATGAGTTGTCTATTTTCTGTTCCACAGCTTTTCATGTTGAATGCAGGATCTGCAGATAGCAGCAAAAGCCATTGTAACATAGAATTAAAAAAACCTCTTTTGCCCCTCCAGCAGCGTTACCCCCATGCTTTCTTTAAATCTGTTTTCTGTCTTCCCTCCTCATTCCACATCCTATTCCTCATTCATTGTGCATACTTCTGTGTCTGCAGCCATTTTATTTCTTCTGTTATTTCATCCTGTTGTTTTTTTAAGGTAGGTAGCAGAGATTCAAATCTGTAGATGTGACAAATAAGGTTCAGTCTTTATCTTTCTTATCTTTCCTATCTTTCTCTTCCCCTTTTTTTTTTAATGCAATAATTTTCTTGAGCTGCACCCCATGAGCTCTTCCTTACCTAATCAAATTCCTTCTGGAGTCTTAACCACTGTAACTGCATGTGGCTCTGTGTTTGATCTCTTACAAGTGCAAGGCAAGTTGAACTGGATTTATCTGAGCACTGACCTTGTCTACTATTATGTATAACTGGTTCCTGCCAAAGCACATTCTAAATTTCTTGACTGCCTGTCCTATTAAAATTTGTACTAAATTGGTCATTTCTTGTTTTTACATTTTAGGCTGCTGGGAAGGGGCTCCATGTTTGTGTTTTCCCCAGAACAATTTCAAAGACTGCTTAAAATAAATCCTGAATGGAAATCCCACAGACTTCTCGATTTAGGGGCTGGAGATGGAGAAGTCACTAAAGTTATGAGTCCTCACTTTGAAGAAATCTATGCCACTGAATTGTCTGAAACGATGATATGGCAGCTTCAGAAGAAGAAATACAGGTATCGACTCAATAATTCCTACATTCTTTATATCAGCAAGTAATTTATTTGTGATTTAATGAACATTACAGCAAGTAATCTATTTGTGATTTAATGAATGCTCAGGATTTTCAGTCAATTCCTTTATTGTTTGATTGTTATGGAAAAGGTTAGCCTGTACAAAAGCAGAAAAACAAGGACGCGTGATGATCCCTCTTACCACTGTTGGTTTCTGTCTCCTTTATTACCTGATGTTTATCAGACTGTATAAAGGTTCATAGGGCTGGACATGCAGCCATGCTGATCATTGATTTAGTTTCCTTTTCCAAAAGACCAGAAGGGATCATGTCTGTCTCTTCTCTAAATGGTTGACCTTACCTGCACTATCAACACGTCCACAGGGAATTTTTCTCTTCAGTAGTTCTGTCTGAAATCAGCTTGTTTTTATTTAACAGATTGTATCTCTTTCTCTTTCCTTTCACAGGGTGCTTGGTGTAAATGAATGGCAAAACACAGGATTTCAGTATGATGTTATCAGCTGCTTGAATTTGCTGGATCGCTGTGATCAACCACTGACTGTATTAAAAGATATTAGAAGTGTACTGGAGCCAACCAGAGGCAGAGTCATCCTAGCACTGGTTCTGCCATTTCACCCCTATGTGGAAAATGGTAAGTGCACAGATTAACAGCTGTTTAGGCAGGTAAAGAAAATATTTGTATGATCCAGTATCCCCAGATTAAATGTTTCATAAGACATGTTTGTATTTGATTTTTTACTCATGACTGGTAGAGGGCATGTTCAGAAGTACAAAGTCATAGGTAAGTAGGCTACGTGATGTGAGCTATTTTGTTAACTCCACAGAATACATTGTTGACACCAACAAAAACTCAAATACTGAAGTACAGATCCTGTTCTGCAAGTTACCACATTTCAGCTGTGTTGGAGCAACTTGGAAAGACTGGTCTCTGATTAAGGCCTTTTACCCCAGCTGTCTCTAGTGACCAGTTGAGCAAAACCACCAGAACTGTCTACTGCTGAATAGAGACATTCAAGTCAAGCTGTTTCAAGTGTTCCAGATGAATCCCACCTAAAAATCCATAGAAAGATAACTCACTTTCCAACATGAGGTCTCAAAGTAAAATATGGACCCCTACAAATACGAAGTATCAATCACTATTAATATTGTATGAATTTGCATTGTACTAGTAACAGGAATAAAAAAGTAAAATTCAGTGCCAAAACTCAATTATTTACCCTACTCGGATTTAAAAGAAATATATGAGAGATTTTCAGATGAATCTGTCCTTATGACTAAACTTCTAAAGAGACTAGAAACCTTTTTACATGCCTGTGATTGTGGATTCAGGTTGAAGCACCCTGAAGGTGGTTTGAATTCCAGGAGGCTGATGTTCATCAGTCATTGTTCTGGTTCTCCTTGAGTGTTAAGACTTTTCTGTGGGAAGGCATGGATGCCCAGAAAAATACAGAACTAATCATGTTCTGGCAATCACAAATGCATCAAACTGAATCTGGATTTCTCTTTTTGCACGCTAGTGTTATTTTGATGGGAAAAGGGAAAAAATAAGTATAAGAAGTAATGCCATCAGGTGAAGAATTACTTATAATACAATATTTGAGCTTGTAATTGTGTAACTATTTTGAAAAGTAGTGTGTCTTAAATTAGATTTGGTGTTTGACTTAGGCATCTGTAAAGTATTTCAAGCATATTTGGTTACAACTTACTGTTCCTATAACGTGGAACAATGTGGCTTTGCCTTGTAGAAATCCTTTTCCACTATTTGCCACAATTATGGATACAGACCCATATAAACTGTTAACAGTGCAGGTTAGCACACACAAAAGTTATAGCTTTCCCACTAAAAATCAATTTAACTGTGGGCTAAAGAAACAGACAATTAGCTGCCAGACTGTCTTCATGATGCAAAAGCCATTTTAGAATTTCAGTATTTTCATTCAGCTATTCTACATGATGTATTTTAAAAATAGATATATACATATGTTTCATATATAACAAAATTATACTTGGAACATTCAAAGAGGAGAACATTCCACAGCTCAAGTAAGTTCTTGTAGCAGCTCATTAAAACCAGCTTGAACCCATGTAGTGAAACTTTTTTATTTTGTAGAGAGAGAACAAATGGAAAAGCATTGGGACAGGTAAGGTGTTTGATCCAGTGATAGATAAATTATTTTAGTCAAAGTGAGATATATAGGTTATTACATGCAGTATAGTGGGATGGTAATGGTAGAAGCTGTCTATGTGAATAACATAAAACCTGCGCTAAGAGAACAAAGCAAGGTGGAGAAGCAAATACAGGTCTGTGCTCACTGTTTGTGGAATGACAGTGACACCTAGAGTCCAGAGGAGCTCAGCCATAAATTCTTTCTGGGGCTTTTCAGTCTTTTTTCAACGTGCAGAACAACCAGGAATGCAGTTACTGCAGGTGTGTGAGTTTGGCAGGAGAGCCTGATGAATCACCAGGTATCAGACCAGTCACTAAGAGCAAGTATTACCACAACTTCATTTTTAATAGGTGTCTCACAGAGTCATATAAGAATCCTTTGTATCTCCAAATACAGACAGAAAAAGTCACCATTGGATAATACATGACTGGACTGGTGTAAGTTTCTCTAAAATAAAAATGTTACGCCATATTTCAGAAGTAGTGAACACTGGGAGTCTGGGAGTGTGAAATTTCCTTGTTGAATGTGTTCATATCCTTGTAATGGATTGACAGGGATGAGAAGGCAAAGGTGTGTATTCTGTATACAGAATGTGTATTCAGAAATACTATTAATTGAGCTGGACCCTTAAGATGGACCCTTGCTTTGTCTCAGTTGTCAGTTGTCATCTTGCAGAAGTAAGAAATGCCACTTGATTTGTTAAACAAAGCCTTGCTTTATTTAAATTGTGATAAAAGATGCAGCTGTTCTTTAGAAGGGAAAATGCCTGATACCAACAGGTACCTTGTAAAAGTGCTGATTTTGCAGATTGGCTAGGTAGTAACTGCTGAAAAGGGTACTTTAAAAAAAGTATACTGGATAATGTAGTTCTTTTTTGTGCTTGTATCCATGTTGAACCGGTCTGTAAAGCAAAGTGTGGTGCTCCAGGTGTTCCTGACTTGGGGTGGTGGGACTGGGAGATGGGAGTTGTCTGCCTAGCAGGTGATTTTAGTATTGGAGGAGCAATGTTTTCACAATGACATTTACTTTCCTAAATAGGTTTGGAAGATGCTCCCATCCCAAATGAGCTTTTCCAGGATAGTGCATGTGTTTATATTGTCAGTTTTTTTCTGCTTACTTGCCTAATACACAGGTTTTGCTCTGTTTAAACTGTTCTAAGGCTCATTTACTGTTGGTCTGTAGATGTTACATCAATAACTACCCCATTAGCATGAGCAAATCCAGAATTTCATCCATGAAACAAGTTTATTTTCTGTTGCTGTCAATTGTCAAACATTTTTCACATCCTGTTTCGTGTAACAGGATTACATAAAAGTTTATGTAAAGAGAAAAAAAGAAGACAGAATTAAATCTAAACTAAAAAAAGGAAACTTTTATGAAACATCAGCAGTTATCTTACAAAGATGAAGTCTTTTCCCTGGGTTCTTGTAAATGGAAAATGGAATATGTAACACAGATGTAAGGTACAATGCACTTGGTTCTGGTGATCTGTTTAGAAAATACTCCCGAAGAACACTGCCCTGCAAGGTTTTCTCCTCTTCCTTTAAAGCAAAGGAAGTCTGTGAAGAAGCTTAACTTCCTCACCTGCTCCTTTGCATGCAGAGTTGAAAAAATCTGAAGTGCTGCATGTGCTCATCTGTTCTGATAAACAGTGTCATCTTCCAAATCATCCTAGGGGCAGAAGTGTTTTGTTATTGAGGTGATTTTTTTTCTAATAAAGGCAGAATTTCTTTTTTGAGGCAAACTCCATCCCCTTAGTGTTTCAGTAAAATCCTTTCTCCCCTCTTATCCAGTTGTTTTTGTCCATGTGGTATCTACAGTCTTCAGAACATGTTTCTTACCCTGTTGACTTTTCCTAATCTCCAGGGAGCACAGGGGCAATAAAACATGGCCCATATTTTCATATCTGATGGTCAAACCAAGGACCTGGTCATGTCAGCAGGGACTGGAAGGCTTTAAGGGGGTAATTACAAAGGAAAATGATGGGAGCTGTATGGAAATAAATGAAGTGCAATGTATATAGGAGAAGTGTTTGACTTTGGTCTGTGTCATTTGGTTCCTCCTTGCATCTCTGAATGATCTCTGTGCTCAGAATAGGAAAGGATTAACATTGTTTCTCAAGAGAAACAAGATTTCTGAAGCAAGGTTTTGAAGCAATTTTCTTTGCTTGCAAATGTGTGTTTTCTAAAGTTGTGTGGTTTGGTTTTGTTTATTGGGTTTTTTTTTAATAATTTACATGACCCGTGTAAAATTATTGTCGTATAAGACTTAATGGCATAAATTTAGAATGATAAAATAAGTTGTGTGGCTTTACCCAGTGATGTTGAATACTTAGTCTGTGAGTCTGTGTGCTGCAGGAAGGGAAATACCTTTAAAATATATTACAGAGCTTTTATAATAGTTTTATGTTTCTATCCCCTACTCTGGGTTAATGGAGCAAGAGGAGCTGAAAAAGCAGTACTTTTCAAACATAACCTCTTAATAGCTCCAGGCATTTTACCAGACAGTACAGAACCAGACCTCTGCTTGGCAAAATACAAATTTATGGCAGTTCTAATTTTAAATGTACAAGCATACATTTAAAAAGGTGTGTGTGGGGGGGGTGTGCACACCCATGTATAACTATGTATAATTATATATGTAATTGTATGCATATGGCCATTTAGAATGCTTTATAATGTCCTTGTCTGTCATTTGGAATACTTTTTTTTTACGTCTCTATCAACTTTAAAGCAAATAGATACATTAAACTCCTAAAACCTTTCATTTTCTGTTTTTCCCTATAAATTTAGGTATTGGTGGGTGGATACTCACAGGCTGTTGGCAGTGTTGAGCAAATCTCTGCTTTTGAAGTTCTTGAGCAATTGCTTGAAAAACTTTCCGGCCGCTATTTATTTTCTGCAAATAATTTAAAATATTTGGTTCAGTGCAACATTTTGAGTTGGAGGAAACATCTTTTCCTCCCTTCTAATTTAGGTTTTTTACCTGGATATGTGTTTTGGATTGTTACTAAGTAACATTTTAAAAACATGGAGTTTGGCAAGCGGAAGGTTTTTTTAGTTGCATTATTATTTCATTACCTAACATATACACCTTCTTTAATCAGTTTGGCAGGCAGAAGGTTTTTTAATTGCATTATTATTTCATTACCTAACATATACACCTTCTTTAATGGCTCTTTAAATGCATGGCTTCTGATTTTTATGCAAGGATATATAGTGATGCACGTTGTTGTTAGTTAATAGCAAAATCTGTTATTGTCACAAGTTTGAACAAAATTTGCTTAAAACCTAAAGGAAAGAGTGTGTTAGAGATGGCCTTTACAGAGATTATCTTTATCATGCATCCAGTGTGTTAAATTACTTGATTTGTTAAAATTAGTTGCATATAAATTGATAACTAATTTTGTACAAATCTAAAAGTGAAGCCTTAGCAGCTCAGAATGTCTCTTTAATGGAATCATCAGTTAATCACAAATTTGATGCTCAATATACTTCAAAAAGACAAGAAGCAGCAGCTCTGAATCACAAAGCAAATAGCATGGTAACATACACAGTTCTCTGTTGTCTGGTCTTTTCCACTTTTCTTTAGCAGCTTTGGTTTTAACTGGAGGGAGAGAAAATAAATGAAAAAGCAATTAAAATATAAGATGAGAAGTTAGCAGAGTAGTTAAAATTATTGCCCTTTTGCAGTGTCAGTTTGTAGGTAAGTGTTTCATTAGATCAGCTTATACCATTGGAAAAATCAGAGGGGTTTTCACATGTGTGAAGCCTTTTTCAGCTTCTGGTAGTAGATACTGCAAGTGTTTTTGCTTTGAGCGCAGTGGGACCTGCTTGAAACACTACTTAATTCTCAAAAATAAACCAATGGCATCACAGATCTACTTTTTCCCCTGGAGAAGGCTTGTTTAATTTTTCCCACTGTACTCTTCACTCTGTACCTTCACTTCTAAAGAAAAACAAAAATGAAAAAGCCAGTCTTGTCTTTATGCTTAGACAGTAGTCACTACAGGAAAGAGTCATTTTACCATATCATACCAGTAAGGACTGTGAAGTCCTGATTCTCCTGTCAAAGTCTCATTATCATGTAAAGATTCCTGTTGTAGCTCTGTTTGTTTTTATCTAAACACAAATTTTGTTCTAGATTTAAAAAAAAAAACAAAAAAAAAAACCCCAATAATTGCATAGCTTTTAACCATGTGCATTTTAATGGGTTTGTTTCTATAAGCATAAAACTTCTTCCAAGTCTCTGATATTTTTAAATTTTACCAAGGTCTCTCTTCTGTACATGTATGAAGAGAGTCAGTAGACAAGCAAGGTCAGATTGCAGTAACTTTACTGCAGCTCATAAATATTTTGATCTGAATTTAAATCATTTTACTGGAAATTTATACTCTTAGGACAATTTTAACTTCAGAATACCTTTTATTTTAGACACTTTACTGAAAAAAGAAAATGTGGTTGCTGTTGAGAGTCCAGGTATGTGCCATGCAGGAGTTCACAGATGTGTGTGTGCAGCACATGGACTTCAACCAACCTCTCTTTAAAACCTAAATATAATAGTTATGAAAGCTAGAAATGTGTTTTTATTCCCTTTATGGAGATGTGAAAACTGCATTGATTTACAAAATGAACAAAACCAGAAAATCACTCTGAGCCTACCTTGTAGACCACAAAGGAAATGAGCACAGCAGAGCTGTACAGGAACAGTAAGGACGAGGCGATGATCATGGAGATGAGTTTTCCATTGCTGAGCTGCTTCCCTGATCCTTTATTAAAAATGAGTGTTAGAATAAAGAGCAGATCTGATTCACTTAATTTTTTTAAGACTCTGCATTCCAGCTCCCTTTCTCTGAGGAATTAAAAAAAATATACTATCAGTATTTTTTGGGTAATTTTCATTCTAAATTCCTTAGTGAGATCAATTTCCTTTTGTTCACTCATATGTTTGTGAGGACAATGGAGACCTGTTAGTTTTGATTACAAACCTTTCCTTTAGGGATAGAGAGAGAATGGTATCCAGTGTTCTGCTCCTGTAAAGGTATATCTGAATAAAGCTCATAGACTTCTGTTCAGAAATGGAATTAGAGGAAGGAAGGAATATAAAGTAATAATCCAGCTGAGTGTTTCTGGGTTGTTTTTTTTTTTTCTGTTTTAGGCATGTAAAACTGAAATGTAGTTACTGAAGTTTCATCACTCTCTTAACTAGAGGCAAGTGATACAAAGGTTTGGAGCATTTTTCTCAGGCTGGTAGTGTGAATCCCCAGGTCTGAGGCCCTGCACTCTCTTGGCAACTTCTACAAAATGTTAGTTTCTCTACTTCCCATTTTCTAGTAGATACTTCTTTCTGACAGCCACAAAAGTCTTTCTGTAAGAGGATGTAGAGTGTGGTTAGACAGCATAAGTGCAAAACTTCTTTCTTTTGTAAAATTCTAGAGTCATCTTTATCACATGACAGAACAGCCTAATTAGCAAATGAGGTTGAGGTGCTCATTTGTGGAATCCCTCTGGTTTTACTAATAACATCTGAATATAGCCATACTACTCCTAATGGGTTTGTTGGTATTTCCATCTTAAATGTCATTCTTGAAAGTATAAATCAAGAGAGTATTTAGCAAAGATATTTATTTCTTCTAAGATGCTTCATTAAGAAAGAATAATCAACTGACCTGTTACTGTTAGTACTGTTCCATCTCCTGTTTGTTTAGAAAGGGGTGAATCTGAGTCTGAAAATGCTATTCCACAGATATAAACAGCGCTGTCATTTACAGTCAGATCTTTTATCTGAAGTAAGATGTTATTTCCCGATGAATGCACTTTATACTTCTGATGATCTGTGCATCCAGGAGTACACAAATCCTGATGTGTATTAGTTAAAAAACGAAACCACAGAACTTCAGGTGGGGACGAGGAGCATCCAGAGGCAGAGAAGGAGCAGGTTAGGGACACGTTCTTCATGGAGGAGTCAGCTTGCTGAAACCCGGGCTGTGTTACAGCGACTCGGCAGTGACCTGCAACACCTGTTGGGAAGGAACAGTTGGTGATGTGAAGGACAGCTAAAAAGCCTGGTACAGTCTCAAAAGAAAAAACAACTACTTTTGGTTCATTCAAGGAAAGGTGGGAGGAAAGGAAGAAACCAACTGTGTTTCAAACTTGAAATTACTAAGGTTGTTTTCAGCGAACTTTGTTTTTAGACAGTTCCTACAGCTTGCACGTGTGCTCATTTAACACTTTTATCTACAGGGTGATATGCTTGCCTTTCTGTTTTGTGATAAAACAGGGAAGATTGATAGATCCAAAGCAATGTGAATGTTTCCTTTGGCACTGGAGAAGACCAGAAGAATACTTGGTGCCATTTCTAGCCTGATATTTAGTGCTGCATGTTTGTGGGGGTGCTGGCCAGTGGGGGTGGGTGTTGTGTGATGTAAGTGCAGTTGCTCAGTGGAGCAGTTCTCTAGGGCTTTCTCTCTCCTCCACTGCTCCTGGTCTGAGCCAAGCCAGACAAGCTGAAGGCAGGGCAGTGGAAATGTCATAAATCAAGACATTTATAATTTAGTGACTTCATAACATTGATTAGAATTCACAATAGTTCCTAGATATTCTTCCACTTCATCACATATATTGACTCTGGGTTTCTAAGAATAATAGTGCTTGTTAGTCCTGACATTTAAAAATGTGCAGAGAAAACAATGTTAATCAGAGAAGAGCATTCTAATTAAGGAACTAAAATGTGTGGTTTAATATGACTAGTCTGGAAGATTTTTTAAATCCTTATTGAAATCCATGTGTATTCTGTGTTAATATATTTAATTTTATTCAAATAAATAGTGTAGTTATTTAAACTGTGGCATTGAGGGTATTGCAGCAAGAATAAAGGTAATATCTAAATAGCATCCTTTTCTGCTTGCCAGAAAATAACAAACTAGAAGATAAATAAACTGACATCTCTTAGTGTACTGCTGAGACACAATTTGTAAACCTGTCCATGGTGAACAATTAGCATTGTCCCTTCACCATTTTTCTCACTAAATCCAATCAGATTCAGTGTCTGTGACTTCTTTAGGAATAAAGTGAAACTGGTTCTGTGCCAGGTCCATATCAGAGCCATTCCACAGCACTACAGCAATCTGAAGATTGTAAGTTGTGGGTGTACTTGCACCCTGTGTGGTGAAAGGCAGTAGCTTGTGCTTCTGCAGCTGATCTCCTTCTCTTTTCCACCTTATCCACAGGCTCTGGTGTCCTTGCAGAGCAGAACTCCATGGCCTCAGGTCATATAGGTGCTGCCTGCTGAACTTCCCAAACCCTCCACCCAAACAAACACAGTTGCTGGTGTATTCCAAGCAGGGAAGTGCACCAGGATTTGACCCAGAAATTATAGGTTACAGCAGCGTTTCAGACTTTTGGAAGAAAAAAGCATTTGCTAGCAGTTGGATACTTTGGAAGTTGTATGACACTAGCAGAAATTAACCCGATTTTCAGCAAAACTTTCCACTGCTTTTCTTTTGTAGCTGTGCTGCAAATCATAACCACAAAATTCTCAGTTTTGTTTAACTATTGTTAAATGAGAAAATGTAAAAAATTTTTTAAAAGTCTTACCAGCACCATACAGGATCCAGTCAAACGCCAACATTAGCACGTTTTTAAATTTGTTGAAAGATGCCATTTCTTGTATCTCTGTGGAAATGAATCTTCTTGAAGGAAGAGGAACTTAGGAAATGTTTGGATTTGCAGAACTGTCTTAATCACAAGATGTAGAACTTCCTGTTTAGAAGGGTGTTTACTACTGCATTTAGCAAACTGTTTAAAGGTACAGAGCAAACCAGAAAGCCTTTGTTTGTCGTGGATGGCATTACTTGGAAAATGAGTGAAGAACTTGAAATTTGAATTCCTGAGAGTTGTGCCTATAATCCTTCAGATTATTTCATTTGATACAACAAATAACAAGACATTTTCCAGCATGCTACTTAATCAGCTTCTTAATTTTATAAGACCCTAAGCAGCCTTTAGCAGACAGTAGCTGGTAGGTGACCACTGAAGGGACAAAGTAGCTCTCCACTGTGATATGGGTGATCTGCTGGTGAAAGCTTCACAGCAAATCATAGTTTTCAACTTGCCGACTCTAATTACTGTAATTACCTCTGTGCCTGTCTGCTGGTCACCAGCCTCACTAATGGCAGTTACCTTTTAGCCACTCCTAGCACTTCTAGTTAAAAATGTAACCTTAAAGAAGCTGCTTTTGAACAGCAGGGATAAACTGGAAATGATCTTGCAACAGGTCTGTAAGTGGTGTGGCAACCTCCTGTGTGTAGTGGAATGGAACATAATTAGTGTAATTATGCTTTCTGTAGGAAAATGCAGCACACAATAAAGTTTTCGTTATAATTGAAACAAAGCTGTTCTGTTTTCTCAGTAGGTGGCAAGTGGGAAAAGCCCTCAGAAGTTTTGGAAATCAAAGGGCACACTTGGGAAGAGCAGGTGAACAGCCTGCCAGAAGTTTTCAGTAAAGCTGGTTTTGCCATTGAGGCTTTCACCAGACTGCCCTACCTCTGTGAAGGTGACATGTACAATGACTACTACGTGCTGGATGATGCTGTCTTTGTCCTCAAGCCAGTGTAAGCCTGTGTGAAGTAAAGCTCCACAATCTAAGCCAAGAAGCAGCCTCTGAAAGAGGATTTTGATTTATGGTTACTTAAAGGGAGGGAATTTTGGGATTGCCATGCTAAATAAATACCATGTAAGAAATTTAAAGGCCAAAATAATAATGTATTTCTTTGTAGTGTGATTAGGTGGGGGGGGCGGGAAAGGTTGTTTTTTTAAATGGACTCCTCAGCTGAGTATTTCTTTTTTACCAGCTCTTAAACCAACATTGCATTCTGCAATCCAGCAGCAATGGGTGATATTTTTTTATACTTACCTGCAACAGGGATCATATCCAAACAAAAGCAATAGTCTTTATAATGGTGAAACTGATACAGTGTGAACTGTTGTGAAAGAAATCAAGCAAAATCTGGCAATAAAATTATCCATTCAGTTCAAGCCTTGTTGAATGAAACTGTTGAAATGGATAATCTTCCATGCTAAGTTACTTTCTCTCTTACTGTCATTCTTCACGTTTTTAATCATGCTAATAAACTTTTTTGAGATGACTTTTGCATTAACTTTTGTGTTCATTTCTGTAACCATAGCCATGCTTGTCTGCAGCAACTGCTCTTTGTGTTGAGAATCAAGCTTTCAGTAGCAACACAACCTTGTATTTATTTAAACAGCATTTAATTATTCTTTAATGAGATAACAGTGCACAAAAAATTTATCACTTGGTTGGGTTTCCTTCATGTTCTTCCCTGTCAAAGCCTCATAAATCCTCATTGCTTTTGCATTTGCCATTTTCCAGCTAAAGGGGTTACAGTAGAACTTGTCAAAACTGCACTTTAAACTGATGGCTTTAAAAACAAACCCTCTAAGCAAGTCGTTGCCAAATGTTTTCAGCTTTAAAAAGTTGCAGGCGGTTTCTTGCAAATTTTCTGAGTCAAACTGCCTGTGAGGATCAGGCTGTAGGGGCTTGAGACATTTTCATTTCTGCTAGCTTAGAGATATTTTCCTTTCTTCAAGAGCACTTAAAAAATGCTGTTTATTTTAGCAAGTCTTGTTTCAAAAACTGTTCAAGTGGATAATTTCTGCCAGTTGGGATATAGCTTCTCTTTAAAACAAGAGACATCATAAGTGTTACAGACCTGGCAGGTGTATGTCATGCAGTGCTTGGGTTGCAAGTGTGACAGAGCAGAGAAACCTCAGGTAAGTAAAGTAAGAACTGATTTCTGTTGCTTTTGAAGTCTAAAAAAGTTGTCTGTTGTGGGGTTTTTTTGTGGTTTTTATAATTAATGGTGATTTTATGCCAGGTAGGATGCTTAACAATGTCATTTTAAGTTTACCTCAAACTGATGGTTAATGATTTCTCCTGCCAATTTCTTAGCTTTTTGTTGCAAGTCATCTTTGTGGAATAGTATTCTGTAGTATGGGGCAAGGGCAAAGGATGCTGAAATTTCAAATTACTTCTCAACAGTGATTTAGACTCAGTGTTATTCTCATTTCAGGATGTGCTGTTGCATTTTGGCACGTAGTGCAATCAGATTTGTCTGTTGGGAAAATGAGCTACGTATGCTCTGGAGTGAATCCATTAATTTATCTTCTGCTACCTTCATTTTGTACTCCTCCAGTAGTGGGAAAATGTTTTTTAATGTGTCATTAATTCAGGCTAAGGTAGCAAATATGTAGTAAGACAAACTTCTTCAAAGGTGCTTAAGTGTTTTAATCACACATGTTAAAGATCACACAAGAGACTGCATTTCATGCCTCTCATCTTTTAGTCCTGTCACTGAGGATTTCAGTTTGTAATGGCTTTGAGACATTTGGGAACAGAAGGTGCAATGTAAACAATAGGGTTTTTTTTTTTTTCCTTTCTTATGATTTTCTACTTTGTTCACTCTATTTAACCAAGTATCCTTACACTTGAGATGAAGAATTAAAACATGACCAATAATGAAGAAAATCTTTCTAAAAGCCTAAATTCAGCAGGGTCAAACACCTGCTTAGTCCTGTTGAATAAACAGAATAACCCCCAGGACTGTACCTACACCTGTATTTCTAAAGCCAGACTGTACCTACACCTGGATTTCTAAAGTCAGACTGTACCTACACCTGTATTCTAAAGCCAGGGTTCCTTGTGAGCGAAGGGACTTCTTCCTCCCTGCAGGCACTGAGCATTTGTGTGCAGTCAATGCTGCTCACAGGCCACTCGTGAGTTCCATAGGGTTCCTTGGGAGTTAAGGGATTTCTTCCTCCCTGCAGGCACTGAGAGAGCCTTTGTGTGCAGTCAATGCTGCTCACAGGCCACTCGTGAGTTCCATAGTTCATTAAATTGCCCCAAAGATGCCATCCAAGGGAACAAGTGCTGCAATTTCCGTGTTCAAATTCATTACTCCTGGGTTTGGGAATCCTGCCTTGTCCTGCTGTGGGTGCCAGTGTCCATCCAAGCTGCACTGAGTGCTCTCACTAATGTGCAGAGTTTTGCCCTGTGGAGTGGCTGAACTGTTCTGTTCTGTCAGGGTGGGCTGGGTGTGTTGCACTGCTGGAAAACAATGCTGTGCAAGCACTCGATTTAGGCAGAAACTTTCAAAACAAAGTTGGAACAGCTTCATCCCTCAAAACCGCAGCCTCCTTTTGCCGGGTGATCCCAGGTACAATCAGTTCATACTCTGAGGGACTCAGGGCCACCTGCCCCTGCTTGGGCTGGGGAGATGGGGGAGCAGGGCAGCACCAGCCCTGTGTTTCCCCTGCACAGCTTGTTGAGCTCTCTTCACCTCGGGACAGAAGTGTCCCCTCCTGCCGGCCCTGGGAGTGCCGAGCCCCGGGCGGAGGAGCCGCTCCGGCCCGCCCTGAGGGCCGGGGCGCTGGGCCGGCGCCTGGGGCTGCAGGGCGGTGCTGGGCCTGGCCCCATCTCAGGGTCCCTGGCTGGAGCCGCCCAGCTCCTGCAGTGCCGGGGAGGAGGCGCACGCTACAGAGGCAGGTAAAGCTCTCTGGGGTCCTGGCCCTCCTTCTCTTCTCCTGCCCTCTCTCCCTTTCCAGCCCGCACCCCTTGCGGCTTCCCCCATGCATGTGGTGCTTTTTCTTACAGCCCGGGTGCCAGGGGGAAGGTGGGCACCGGCAGTGTGAGGGCTTATCAGCACAAGTTGTGGTTGTAAGGTCAGTTTTCTGGTTATCGAGCTTCAGATATGGCAGCGACGGCATGGAGTGAGTGATAAAATGTCTAGGATTTCTGTACATGGAAGGGTGGCTGTTCTGGGAGTGAGAGGAGAAGGAGATCAGGGAGCTTCTCATAAGCGGGGAGTCCTGCAAGGCTCAGAGATCTCATCGCAGGAATGGTCTCCGGGGAAATGCTGGGTGGGATCTGCAGGAGATCCCCACAGTGTGATTGGGACTGTCTGGAAGTTGCTGTGAGCTGCAAACTGACCTGTTTCACTCAAAAAATGAACAACTTCATCCCGGAGATGCTCTTGCCGTGCAGGGCTTTTCACAGCCCTTTTTGTGCCCTGCTGATTGTCCGCTTGAGTTAGTCAGGATGAAAAAGCACTTTCCTTAGCATTTAATCTCCTTATACATTAAGTTAACATGCTTTAATTAAAATATACTCCCTGATCAAAGTGAATAAATCGGAATAAACAAATCGGGAGTGACGTTGGAAGCATGATTTAACCTATGCAGAGTAATCAAACCTTACTGCAAAATTATTAGGGCACAGGCAGAAACAAACACAAGTAAGTTCATTGTCTGGGAAACCAGATACGTCTGAATGAGAGACATTTACTGTGGTGCTCCCAAAAGAGTAGCTGAAAGGAGTTTCAGTGTGTGTAAGAACAGGACAGAGGTGATAGCTTCTTGAAGTCTAAAGTTTAAATTTTTCATCATCTGTCAGTTTGAGACACTTCTGTTACACGACTGGAGTTAAGTATTTGCAATAGACTGAGGTATTGCTGAAGGCTTGTTGAAAGATTTTTATAAAAGAGTACCTTGGTACATGAGATTAAACAATCCTAAAAAAGGTGTCATTTATCAAATATTCAGATCTGTAACTCAAGCTGTGGCAGAGAACTTGGGGGGGGGGGGAAGAGAGAGCACAGAATTCAGCAACAAAAAGAAATGCAGAAATTCAGTGTCTCACAAATAAACCTTTGACATGAGGGAAAGGGAGACAAAACCTAACAAAGTCTCTTCATGGTCAGAGCCAAGTCAGCCAATGGGACCCTGTGTGTCATTTGTTAAATCAGGGACTAATCCCAGTGTAAGAAGTTGCCATCTGTGGATCAAGGCATCATCTAATATCTCAGATTAATTTGTTGTTTACCTGTGGGGGTGGTGACTCTCAGGCTGATCAGAGGGCCAGGCAGAAAATCCTCTCTGCAGTGTGGATTGAAGCAGCTGATGGCCCTCAGAGCTGCGGAGGGGATGTGGCTGCAGAAACTCCTGTGTGAGTGAAACCTGCCCAGTCTTGGCTTCCTTTCCACCCCATTGCATTAGTTCTGTGTGTCTCCTTGTCCTTCAAGAACTAGACCAAAATCAACACATTCATTTTGTTTAGGACAACTGTGAAACTCAATTTTTTTTCTGGTGGCAATCGGTGACAACCCAGTGAAAAGTGAAAAGCTCTGTGTACCCTATTACTGCCCTTCCAGACAATTTATCTTTCAGTGATTTTGATGCTGCATAGCACAGGGCTGGACAACTGTGAAACCCAATTTTTTTCTGGTGGCAATCGGTGACAATCCAGTGAAAAGCTCTGGGTACCCTATTACTGCCCTTCCAGACAATTTATCTTTCAGTGATTTTTATGCTGCATAGCACAGGGCAGCAGGGATAGCAAGAGCTACCAAAACATCTCTTTCCACACAAACTGTGTCCGTGGTGGTGGTGAAACTTTGGTGGAACACTTCTTGTGAGTACAAAGACCACGGCTCTGATCTATCCAGGTGAAGTGACATGGTCTGTTTTCCCAAATGTGTGACTTACCCTCTGCTTCAGAAGAGCATAAGGCCATTTTCTCCCTTTCTGCCAAACGTGGCAGCAGGGAAGGGGAGTGCTCTGTCACCTCCCTGCCTGGAGCACCCTGCAGGGACAGGGGACCAGGGCCAGGCTGGCCCACCCCTGAGTTCAGAGATCTGCAAATGGAGGTTCCCAGACCAAGTCTGCAGTGATACTGCAGCTTAACCAGCTAGGAAAAGCTTAGGGTTTGTTTGAAGCTTCTTTATAATTTCCTTTTTCATTCAATTTCTCTTCTGTTTTATCTGATTTTAAAAGGATTTGTTTGCCTGTTTTAACAAAACTGCATTGAAGTCGTACTTAGGTGCAGTGTAACTTGGTAAATAAATGGTGCTACAAGGAAGAAAATGAAATGAGCCATTTGCTGTAGGGAGATAAATCTGCCTGCACATGCACTCATGGACTTGTGTTTGCATAAAGTGTATCTCTATCCTAGAAAAAGATCTAAATTAAAAACTTGGGAGCAAGCAGCCCTGGATTGTCCTGATCTCTATCTGTACTCCGTAGCGTAGGCTGTCTCTGATTTATAGCTATGAAATTTGGGGTGAATATTGCA